GAACGTCCCTCACCTGAGTCCCCCGCTGAATGAGCCGGTTTTCACAGCTCGGGCCACAGGAACACTTGCTGTTGCATTCATATAGAGCGACGCTGGAGCATTCCGGAGTCAATTTCTGATCTTTGTAGGCCCTGCAACCCACGCCCATGTGCCGCAACATCCCGTGCCGGCCGCAACATCCCGCCTCGAGACACTTCTTGCTCTCACAATCGCAGAATTTTCCCGGCGGGATCCATTTGACTTTCGGCGACACGATGTAATCCTGGAATTCGAGCGTTGTCTTCGATTTGTGGAACTAAACGGTGTTCCGGCTCCACAGGCTCTCCGCTCGTCGGAGACTTCAAGCCTGCTTACCCTTATATACTCGAAGTTCGGCGGCAGCCTTTCGTCGTCGACTAGATTCTCAATACGGATGTCGGCTTTGGGTTCTTTCTCCGCGATTATTTCGGTCCATTTCCGGTAGTGTTCCAGGATCTGCCAGCGCGCTGTTACGCTCGCGATGAAAGTCTTGAGTTTCCCGCCGAAATTTTTCAGGAGACGCTGAAAATCTCCCCCTTCCAGGAGATCTCTGACTTTCGTTTGCATTCGATGAATGTCTTCCAACGAGGGCAGGAGGAAGCGGTCGTGGCGAACCGAGAGCTCTTCATCCGCGAGCTTGCACAGGACGAAATAATCCGCCTGCCCTGGGACCAGGAGAGCTTTCTCGACATAGTCCCGAAAATATTCCGAAGCCTTCTTGGTTCTGAGAGACAAAGTTCCGCAGTGAGGTTAGGCTCATTCTCAGTCGGTCACTACTCGTTCACGAACGACGGCGAACTCACGTTCCATTGAGGAAAAATTCGCAGAGATGCAAACTCAGGGCCGGCGTGGCTCCCTGACGAATGGTTTCCTCGTCCTCCCAGGTGTCGGATTGGCTGGACCATCCATCCCACCGAACAAGGAATTCGTAGGTCTTGCCTTTACATCTACAGTCGCGTACGGTATCCACGACATAGCCTGAGGATTCAAAGATCTATTGTCGCTTCGCACATACACTTGAGCTACACTTCCGAAAGGAGTGTAGCTGATTCAAGAGGAATTCGTTCCGAAATTGGAAAAAAACGACCTAGGTCTTGCGGCGAGTATGCATACCGTTGAGTATCTGGGGGATCTGATCCCCGCGATCGAATGAATGATCTGGTAGAAGAGCTTACTCAAGTCATAGATGTTGGTTATTTCCGCTTTCGGGTAGATGTTCTTGAATCTCTCGACGAGCTCTCCGATTTTCGCAAATCCTTTTATGGTCGGGAGTGTCTTGAACTTGTTCAGCAACTTGTGTGGGGGTTTAGAAAACTGGATCGGTGAAGGCGGCGGAGAGAGTATCTCGTTCCTCCCGAAGTCCTTGAAATCATCCGCTATATGGTGTTCGATCGAATCCGTTCCTGATTCCGGGGAGAAGTCGATTCCATCGATTTTGAGGCGGCCTGTGGAACAGCGGTTCCATCAGAGGGTTGCACTCAATGATCGGCGGAATCGAGTGGAAGACGAGGAGCGGGATCGATACTCACGTCTCTTCGCTGATGAAGGGGAAGGGCTCAGCAAGCGTCCGTCGAAGATTCCGTCGTTCTTACGCTTCAATTTCGAGCCGGGGATATCGGTGAGACAATGAGGACACACGTATATACCCATCTCCATACGGACGTCATCTGAAAGACACCGTGAAGGAGGAGATTGCAGCAGCTGCGGAATTTTGTTTTTCGAGCACTTCGAAAGTCCTCGCTCGGATGCTGAGGATGGAATGCATCGCGCGCATCTGCGCCCGAGGCAAACATGGACTTTGAACATGCGTCGTGCTCTGACGTTCGCGTGACGGAACGACCGCAAGACGGGCGCTGTAATTACCGGTAGGAACTCGATTTTTTCCTCAGATGACAATGGACAGATAGAGAGTCGAGCCCGTATTATGCAGAGGCAGCTCAGCGACGAACGCAGACGTTTAGGTGAAGCAATATATCAGAGATGAGTCGGCCCCGAAGGGACGCTACAAACATATGGGGGCCGATACCGAGATTACGAAGGAGTCCGAGATTTCCTTGGACAGGACCTACGAGGGATACCTGCGGAGCAATCATCGGAAGTCTAGAACGGAGCTGTGAGTTATCGCGTCGAGCTGTGCTTCCCCAAAGCTCAGGTTCGAATCTGGAGCACCTGCTCGTCAGCGAGGTTATCATGTCCAGTCGGATACCAAAAGTATGAGTAGCCAGCGCGTTCGAGATCGAGTCCAATCTTGCTCGAGTGAAGGTATTGGCCACGCCGTGTACAACCAACAAACGTGTGAACTGCCATCGTGGTTTTATATCGGATGACCATCATGGCGACCCATTCAGCTTCCACCGAAGTAATTTCTGCCCGGCTTGTCACGAAGGGCATTAATTTTGGCGGAAAATTTTCGCCAGCCCAGCGCGCTCATTGTAATAAGGCTGCCGTATAATCTGGGCTGAGTAGCTTCCTCGGTCTTCCTCCTGATCTCTCTTATTTGGATTCGATGGAACTTCCGAGCACCCACAGTTCCATAGCCTCCGCCTTGCGGGTCGTGGCCGGCTAAATTGGTCTCCAGCCAGAGCGTATCTTGTATGTGCCGCGAGTTTCCCGGCAAGCGTGATCATAATTTTTTGTGGAAACCTGAGCTGACCTCATTATCATAGAGGACAGTCACGATTTCTGTACTGTGTATCAGGGAAAGTCGAGGACGATAAAGGAACATAAGTATTTATTTTAATGGCGTATGTTTCCATCTTGTTGTCCTGTATCGGGAAAAAGCTACCGATTCGTTCAGGCGGTTTCCTTTCTTGCGGAGGAATACGGGTCCAGTTCTTCCCCCCGATATCTCACCAATACTGATTTTTCATCTGCGAATTTGTGCGCCGCTCTTATAGCGGAGATCCTACCGCCTGGTACCTACGTAGTGGTTCTATCTGTTATATTTGAATATCGTCATTCGTCGTTCCCGACGCGGGGAGAAATCGCAGACTCGCATCGATATCTTGCAAGCGTTCGTGTAGGCGATTCTCGAAGCCGCGCGGATCTTCCAAGGGGGCCACACACGTGGCTCCAGGTGATCCATCTAATAGCTCGCTCTTTAGGTCTCTTTGGTTCTCTCTCGGGAGCTATCCTCTGGGCTGCTCCAATTTCCGAGAGCTAAACTTGGTAAAACACTCAAAAAATACATTCTCTACACAAGATTCCCCTCTCTCTTCCTCTAGCTTCTATTCTTCTTCCGATCGCCGAAAGCTGGAGCGTGGAATCCACTCCTCCGACCTCGACGATCACCCCGAAAAATTGATTCACAAACACACTGAGAGTCATATGTTAATTTACAACTGTCAAGTCATCCCCCGACTTCGGCCTTCGGTCGACGATCTCGCGGGACCTGGAAGGGCAAGGGGAGACTTGATGAGCGAGTCGATCCGAGAGATCATTATGCGAACAATCAGAAAGAGTCGAACTACAGACCTCACAGTACTTTAAGCTTTACGCGAGGGCATCTCATTCAACATACGTAATTTGTAGAAATATCAGAGCTGATTCTGGGTCGTTTCGTTTTAGAACAGGAACTTTTTGCAGCCGGGAGCTTCACACCGGCAAGGCATTCTAGGGAGCGGTCCGTTGCCCTCTGTCGCTGTAATTGAGAACAATTTCGTCTTAAGCATTTTTATCGGAGTTCTTTGCAGAACGGCTGCTCGGGACATGAGCTTCGATAGAGAAAGGACCTACGACGCATTCTGTAATTGAAGGTCAGCTCTTCATCCTTCATGATGTCTCTTTTTGCAAAGAAAGCCAATCGCGGGGCGGCTGGATTATGGTTCTCGATGTAAGCGTAGCTGATGGCCATGTTAGGCCGACACTGGAAAGAAGAACGCGCAAATCCGAATCAAAATTCAGAGAAGCGCTGCGAGAGGGGCTCCCCATACGGGCCGCGTGAGCGGTGAGATCGCGAAGATTTTCAGCGCAGCAAAACGGCCAAAAGCATGCCTCACCGTCTGCTTCATGCCCGAATATACGGATCGTCGAGCGAACGAGCGATCAACTTACGCTGTGATTGTAGAATCTGGTGACGTTTCCATATTTGGCCGCGTCGACCGTGTTCTCACTCGCTTGTCCCTCGAACGGTTCCAGATCGAAGAGGTAGGCAAAGTTGACCGCGTGACGAGGGACAGCTTCTTTTGAAGTCATCAATTCACCCAGGTATTCTCCCAAGAAGGCTCCTTTGTTTATACGAGTTCTCGTCCTCACGCCCCATCCTCGTGTGAGTGTTTTGAAAATTGTCAATTCATTCTGCCCGGAGAAAAAAGCACTTATGACTGATGAGAAAACCCTAGTCATCGGCTGCTCTCCAGGCCCGACGGAGACTCTTTTATTAATTCAGTAAACTCCCAATGATGAGATTATGATTGAGCCAAAAATAAGATCATGAGGGATGATGTGGAAGATCTTCTTACCGTGACTCCTTTCTGTATGAGACGGTTCTCGCAACTCGGGCCACACGAGCATTTGCTGTTGCATTCATACAGGGCGACACTCGTGCAGGATCGCTTCAAATGTTGCGACGAGCTGTAACCTCGATAGCTTTGACCCGCGCCGTTCTGGTACATGCCACAGCAGCCTTCTTCGAAGCAGGTTCTGTCCTTGCAATCGCAGAACTTCGTCGGAGGGATCACTTTGACTTTTTTCGACACAACGTAATCCTGAAAGCAAAGAAGATTCATAATTCTCGTTGTCAGCTCATCCCTTAAGCAGTGGGACACCTTCTCGTCCTCCTCTCAAACGCAAAGAGTTTCCGTCCTCTTCCGTCTCCGCCTGGATAGACAGACTGCTATCGGTCTTCAGAGATCATCGACTCACCGTTACATACACGAATTCAGAAGGTAACTTCTCACAGTCGACTAGGTTTTCGATATCGATGTCTGCCGCGGGCTCCATTTCGGCGATAATTCCGGACCATCTCTCATTGTCGTCCAGTGTTTCGGTGCGTGCTCTGACGAACTTAATTAGAGAGCTGAGTTTGCCCTTGAAGTTTTTCAGGAGAGATTTGACGTCATTTTGTTTCAGAAGAGCTCTGATATTCTTCTGCATTCGCTCGGTCTCCTTGACTGTCGGGAGCAAAGTGCGATCCCCGCTCAGTTGCAAGGTCTCGTCCGCCAATTTCGAAAGCACGAAGTAATCGGGGATTTTTGTGCCCAGTAGAGCTCGTTGAGCGTATTCTTTGAAATAGCCGAAAGCTCTTTGGTTGCTGCGAAGGAGAGGAATTTTCGGTTTGGCGGGACAGCTCGGCTCGTCGTCACCCTCGGTGGGGTATCTACCCTACTCGCTTTGGATTTATATGGATGCGATCTGTCTCGAGCCCAGATTCTTACTTCCTGCCGATGAAAAGCTCGGACAGATGAAGACACATTCCCGGCGAAGCATCCTCCAATATGTTGCCCTCCGGTTCCCAAGTGTCCGACTCCGCCGACCAGCCCTTCCAGCGGACTAGAAACTCTAATTTTCCACGGGTTTCTCGGTATCGGCTTATGAATTCGATTTGATAGGCTGCAAAGGAAGAACACTTCTTTCAACCTACAGCATCATCGATATTCGAGCGAGCTGATTATCTGGTCCAAGGAACGGAAAAGCTCCAGTTTGTCCTCCACCAAGGCCTCCTCTAGATCCTTCCCCGACATTCATCCGTTCGGAACGAAGCGGACGTGATGCGAGGCGCTCGTTCGTCGAGCTGGCTCAATCAGCAAGGGTCGGTAGAGTATATTTACTTAGATCATCTATGTTTCCGATCTTGATTTCTGGATGCTCCCTTGCAAGTTGCTCTACTAGTAGTCCGACACTGGTCAATCCATCCCGGATGGCAGGGAGATTCTTAAACTTGGCGGCCAGAGCGGAGCTAAGCTTGATGGCAGACTTCTTAGACGAGGCAGTCTTGGGCTTCTTCGGCTCCGATGCGATCGTCGATCGGACTCCATTTGTTGGTTTGCTTTCTCCACCGTCATCATCGCCGAGACATCTGTCGAGGTTCGACTTCGACAGGGACCTTTTCGTGGCTTGCCTCTCCATTTTGACTTCCGGTCTGGAGCGAGCTGGAAAGAAATAGATTGATAGAACCTCTGGGGACTCGGAGTGTTACAGAGACCATCGAATGGAATGGGAGAGAATCACTGAGGACGAGCTCGAGAGAACATTACCCCTCTTCTTCGCATCCTCGGTGTTGAGATTCTTTTCCCGGAGAATCTCGTTTTCTCGGCATTTTCTCAGTGCTGCGGGGAGACAAATAATTTAACTTTATCATGGCCCCCAAGGTGAGATCAAAGTCAGTTTCCGGAGGAGCCGACGGGAATCTTCACATCAGGGTCAGGACTCATTGGATGAAAGCCCGAATGAGCTTTCTGATCAGTTTCCGAAGGTTTCATACAGAGAGGCTCATCGAGCTCGATAAGGATCAATCGGGAGAGGGAATCTCGCGATGACGCGGGCTTGGGAGGAATCAGCCGAATTTGCGCGAAACGGAGCGGAAACCTCCGCTGGATCGGGAAATCGAACGCGACATCAAAGCCGGGTGAAACCATCAACCTATCTCCAACTCACGGCGGACGTGTCCTGTCGTTGTTGTCGTTCTGAAGTTTTTCGGGCGATCACGACCAGGAAAATAAATGTCGTCTGGGTCTCCCGAGTGCTCATGGAGCTCGGTCCTCATTCTGGTATTCCGTGTGAGAGAACCCGCTGCTCCGTTCGGAACACCCATCTTCTTTCCGGGACGCTCTCAGGAGCTCGGAGAGGATGTCACGCTTCTGAGAATGGTCGGAGGCAACAACTGTTCGCCTCAACGTGAGTTCGATGCCGTTGGACCGGCACCGGGAGCCGAGAGCACAACACTTCAATGTAAGCGCCTCTCACAGCACCAGTCCGAGGTGAGGACATGGGAGCCCGCCTTAATCGATCAAGTTCGTGGCGCCATTTTCGAAACCGCGCTGAAAACCTGAGAACCGCGGTAGTGACGACGCCTTCTCTGTGGAGGACTGTGGGAAAATATCACCATCGAGATCGTGGAGCTCTTGGTGCGAAAACATTTGGCGGCATGGCAACACGCAGAGCTCCCTCCAGGGATCATTCCGGGTCGGCCATTTTCGATTTGGCGGGAAAACTGCAACCTTCTGCGATGACCATATGACAGCCATTGAACGCATTCCCGCAACTTGCGGGAGCCTAGAAGAGGAGGGGCCGTCACTCACAATCTCTTCGGTGCATCAATGGTCACCGGGCGTGGGGGCGCTCGCGATCTTGGAACCCCACAGAGGCTCGTCGCTCATCGGCGTCATTCTCATCATTCATTCAGAAGCGGAAGTCAGGGATGAGAGATCTTCTCGATACTGTACCTTGTGAGCTCGGTCTCTACGGTTTGTCGGAACGAAATTCCTCAGCGGGTCAATGGCGATCGCCATAGGACGGTTTCGGTCCGGTACGGAACAAACTGCTTCAATGCAAGAGAACTCCTTCAGGAACTTGTTGTCTCATCCGAACGAGTCGTTGACTCCTTCCTTCCCTAATTACCTCACTGGTGGCGAATTTCGGCGGAGCGGGGTGATGAGTATACAATCCCCAAGGAAAACACAGCTTGGGGTATGGAGAATCTATTACTCGTTCATCAGGCACTACAAATGAGCTCAGGATGAATTCTAATTCTAAACACGAGCTTGACCTCCTCCGGAACGACTCGAGGTAGGCCAAGACATTACCTTCTTCGCTCTCTTCGGCGAATACGCATGTAGGGCGAATTCTCAGAATTGCCGTGCACGTCATTTTTACGGAATAGAGTACCAATCTCGGAGAGCACGGTACAATTGGACATGTAGACATGTGTACGGAAGGAAGGAGGAAAGCTCCGACAATTCAAGCTTGCAAGGGCGTAGATGGTTGATATTGAGCGAGTCCCCGCGGGAAAATGAAAACCTGGCCCCGTGATGATCCTTTGAGATACAACTCTCCTCTTTCACATAGAGCGATGAGCGCCTTCATGGTATTAACGTAGTCCTCGATGGGCAATTTTTCCGAAATCTCACTCCAACAAGCGTACCGTAGACAAACGTTTCCCTGTTTGTGACGACGCTGCGCCTCCCTGAAAAACCGCGAATATTATCAGACTACGCCAGATTCAACCGTCATGCGAAGGAACCGTAAATGCTCCGACGACACCAGAAGCAATTGTTCGATCGATAGGTCACCTTGAGATCAACAAGCGCACCGCGCCAATCAAGTCTTGATCAGCTTGGCTGCTCACTCTGGCTGAAGCGCCCTCGGGTGAGGTGTCCTGGAGTTGGTGTCCAGGCGGCTGCAAAAGGGAACAGCCGGTCTTGAGCGGGAGCCGCTCCTGCTGCGAATGGAAGTCGCCAGAAAGTCGTGGGGATTACTCACCGAACCCGGTCCGAGCTTGGATATATGCGGCTGGTTCGTAGGCTCTTCTTCCACTTCCGCCTCGTACTGGAAACCTGTGGAGCCCGAGAGGCGCTCGTAAGAGAAATAATCCGCGCTCCATATAGGGACACGATGATTAGCCCCCAAAAAGAAGTATCGCTCGCTGCCAGGGGTGCACAGCGCGCGGCAAGCGGAGCCCTTCCCAGTTGCCTGCCGACCTCTAACCGCAGCCTTTATGCCCTCGTATGGGTTCCACGGCCCCTCACGTGTCCACATCAACATGAGACGGAGTACTCAGAAAATACACGCAGGCTCCGAACAATGAGCCGGTCTCATAGCAGGCGTTCCCAAGCAGCCGAACACGTCGGTTCACTCCTGGGCCATAAGAGAGCTTCGGTATGTCATGGCGGTCCACGAGGAAATCGCAGCGTGGCGCGCCGAGCTCATGGCGTTGTGCACTCTGTTCTCTGCGATTCAGATTTACATTCATATGTACTAACCTTCGACTAAGCTGAAGTGATCGGCTTCCTTTGTCAAATTCCTTGCCGCAAGGTCTGAGATATCCTTCCTGATGTTGGACCGATCCTCACTATCCGGATATCCCGACGGGAAGGATGACCTCTCTGAGGCTCGGACGTCAGATACATCCGATTCTGTCAGCCCCGATTTTGCCGTGGGTGCGACTAGCATCCCTGGTGGTTCCAATCTCGGGAACTTCGGGTCTCCCGGACCCGTGCTCTGTCGAGCCGCCCGGGGTTCTCTGGCTGCAGCGTTCGACTGGAGCGGAAAGATAATCTGTGATTATTATTCTCGTCAGGTAAGATTCGCGTTCCGTCGTGACGATGGCCTTGTTCGCAGCGAACGATATAGGCCTTCTACTTCGTTGTACTCACTCCGCTTCCGGGTCCAGGCGGAGCGAGGGATTCTGGAGGGGCTTCTCGCGCACGGCCTCTTCCTCGATCACGACCACTCGCTCGTCCCCTCCCTCTTCGACCACGGACTAAGGAGGGAAAAGCACATTTTCAAATCGGGGGACTTCCCAGCGGGACACATGCGACCGTTGGACCGGGTATGCAGAGTCTATTATAATTCCGACACCATTGCTGCGGACCTCCAGTTCCAGGATCAATTCCATCCGATCCGCTCGCAAGGTCTTGAGCTTCCGGAGCGGCTCGCGGCGATGCTTGATTGTCGACAAGAGGTTCGTCTTCGGCTTCTACCTCCGGACGGAGCTCTGCTTCTCGGATGCTAGCTGTTTTCACGAAGCGTTTAGAGAGGAATTCGCTCAGCTCTCGGCCCCGACGAGGATTATCACTGAGCCCGAACAACAACTCTCCTACTGTTGGGACGAACTTGGCGAGAGGGAAACTGCAAGCGGAGATGAATGAATCGAGTGGGTACGAAACGATAAGATTAGCGTCGTCGATAGAAGAAGAAAATCCGAAAGAACTCAGAAAAGAGCATCCGAGGACCAACGCGGCCAAGAATTTAGACTCGAGCGCTCTGCTAATCTCTGGCGAGATGAACTTCAACAGTATGCGGTGAAGCACGAGTGATAATAATTATTATTGATTAGTGGCAAAAATCCGCGTTGGATATCGACGAATTTTCCGATCAGGTATGATCAATGAGTAATCAGGCTTTGAAAATCCAAAGGACCGGCAGGCGGAAAAAAGGTGAGAACCTGCGAAATTCGGAAAATGGCGAATCGGGGGCATAGGCACCATCGAACATAATACTCCCGAGTGGAAGGTGGAGGGATCGAGACTGGGTCTTGCGTAAAAGAACTCTGGGACCCGATTTCCTCTTGCCCTCATGGCATCGTGGATATCGATCGAAGGACTATGCCGCCGTTCCCGGACGAAGATCTCAAGCAATGTTTCTGGAACCTCCAGCTCTACCGATTTGAGACAGCATCATGAATTCCTACCGGATTTCGCCCCTTAATCATATTAGCTTCCGTCCGAGCCGGCGCGGCGCCGCTCGATCCGCGATATTCCTCCGATGTAATCCTCTTCGGGGGCCTTCTCGATCTAAAGTTTAAACTTACAGTCTGTGATTGTTCAGGTACTCTTCTCTCGTCCAAGAGAGCTTCCAGCTCTCCCGAATATTGGTTTTGATCTGTTCACCGTCCAGCCGGGTAACCACGTCCCGAACCTGTCTCCTCGGAGCTCTCGCGGGTCTCACATTGGCGTCCGATGGTTCCAATGGCGGTAACTCAAAAACAACTTCTCCGGCTTCCGGATCCGTGAAACCCGCTATCGGTACATGGATGGACCCCTGGAGATCCTCCTGAAGAGAGAATATAGGATAATCCAAAGTAGTTGAAATCGGAGAAATATGTAGTGGGTGATCAGTAAGCGATTACTTCATCGGAGAAATTACATTGCTCGCCCAGCCGTGTCCTCACGGAAGAGAGGAGTTGTTGTTCTTCAGGGAGCTTCCTCATCGTCTCATCCTCTCGAAGGCATGGAAAATAGAAGCTAATCCTTACCTCGGGAAAAACTTCGTAGAATGCGGCAGGATCCACGACGGCCGCTCCTTCCTTTCCCTCCGGATATTTTGGCATTCGTTCTGAATCAAGTGTTCGGTCTTCATCTGGACTAGGACAGATGTCCGGAATCGGGGTCAGATCCGCAACGGCATGGTGATCCGGGGATGGACCTGCATCTAGGATCGGAGAAGCGCCTGGGTCGGGAGCTGCAAAAGGATCCGGTGCGAGGCCCGCTTCGGGAGCACCTGGGTCTGGGAAAACGCTCGGATCCGGAGCTGGATCAGGGACCGCGCTCGGATCCGGCGCTGCCCCAGGATCCGGAGCTGTCACCGAGAACGGTCCTGTCTCCCGAGGATCTTCCTTCAAGAGTAGGAGTAAATACTCGCGAAGTTGTTCCCACGACAGTATCAATTCCCATGACGAGTCACGCTTCCCTCCGCTCCAAGGTTTGTTCTTTCGAATACGCTGTTCTCCTACTCACAGTTGGAGCTGTCTCTTGGGGACGCCCATCGTCCTCTCTGAGACCATCACCAGGGCTTTGTGGAGGTTCATCATCCGCGAGTGACTCCGTATCCGACGATCGTTCGGTCATGAAGGGCTCTCCTGAGATTACGACTTGAGTTGAGCTCGGATTCAAGGAGCAAATGAAGGGACGCGGACATCGGAACTTTGAGGAAGAACTTCTCCTCGCCCGTGAGTTTCGTCGACCCCGAGGGGCTCACTCAGTGGACGATTCCATTGGCGTGAATCGTACGACTTTCGGAGGATCGATAGAGGAGGAGTCGGGGCTCCGGCACGAACCTCGATCCACAATGTTCCTGATGAGTTTTTCACCTCGTTCGACGAAAGCTCTCTGCTTTGCGTAATTCCGCGAAATGGTCGTATCGAGGACGAACAGTAATCCCTCTCTCAAAGCACACATGTTCCAGAGCCTCGTGTTCCTGCAAAACACCCGAAGTGTCCATCAAGTTCTCTGGTACTCAGCAGCCGAGGATACCGGAACGATCAACAATTTTCGCCCGTGAGCCGTCTCGGAGAACAGCCGAGGCGAGACACGAGGGTTCCGACTAACCGCATGAAGACGTTGCTTCCTTCGAGCCACAATCGGTGGTCAGTTGCGAACGCTCTCGAGAGCTCGGTTACGAGAGATCGCAAGCTCCATGGTTTGAGTAGAGACATGAATTCCTGACGGCGGAGTTCGCCAGCCTCCTCATCTTCGAGGAGCTCACCGCCACGGTGGCCGATTTCCATCAAGCATCTGATCAACGGTGTAGACAAGCACTGTGTGTCCTCCATGATCCTCTCTCGTGAGGACTCGGGGATTCGGAAGCGAAGAGGATCGCCCCATCAGAGAATGGAACGCGAGATGCACGTACGTATCTCGAGAGCGTCCATCGAACATCTCCGGCGAAGCTCCCAACTTAGTCGCAATTGAGCTCATGAGATCCGGCAGCGAGACATACGCCTCCGATGAAGAGCTCGGAAGGAGAGATCTAACCCGGCAAAGAAATTCGTCCGCAACCGCTCATGGACGAATTGCATGAGGAAAGGAAGAAAACGAGGAGAACCCAGTCTGAGTGAGACTTGGCGCGTTGAGTCTTCCTCGGCTGGGGAGCCGGCAGACATCGACGTCAGCCTCGGCGTCTTGGGGTCGGGAAACACAAGGCTTCGACATCCCGTGCGCCGAATACGGAGAGCTGACGTTGCAATATTGCGCCATCGTCACTGAGAGACATATAAACTCCGGAAAAAGCTTCGTGCCGATTAGCCTCGCAGTGCACGACTTGGGGGGGACGCTCAAAGATCATCATCATAGGGAATAAGGACACGACAAGACGTGACGGTCATTCCGGGGATGTACGTATTCAGGAGAGTCGACGATTCGCTGCGATTCGGCATCCCTTCCGTCCGTGCGGCCTCCGAAGATTCGCGCCTTATTTTGAACGTTCGGCTCTCTCCCATCATATGTCAAGCCGGCGCAATTTTTCGTGAGTCGATATCTCTCTCGGAGGCCTACGGGAACGGTATGATCGTGATCCCGATACCTCAATTGGAAATCAGTTCTTCGATGGAAAAATCTCAGACGGCGAGCGACGCGCCGACTGACAAGACAAGCCCTCCTGCGTCCTGATTTGTCGGCCATGTTGTGATCGGCAATAGCGCGCGGGAAGCCCTCTGTTTCGAACGAAAACATCACCACATCCGACAGTGGTGCGCAGAAAGCCGTTGAAAGGACATCTCGGAACAGCATACTTTGCTTCGAGGTAAGTTACACTTGCTGTCTGTGGGATATTCTCTTCCTTGGTCGAGCCCGGAGTCGGAATGAAATCCTGTGGGCTGTGAGCGGTTTTGTGAGTAGTGAAACTCAGACCTGGGAATCTACCGACGGCTCCTCCATCCGATTGGTCCCTCGGGAAGGATCTCGTCAATTTCTGATTCGAAGAATCTGGAGCTTCTCAATCCATGAGGTGAACGATGCACATCGGTTCTCCACATTCTCTCATGCACCGTAATCTTCCCGAGGAACTCTTGAGTCCTCGGATTCTTGATGATAAGCCGAATTTCCCCCTCCAGATGGATGACAGTGAGCTCTTTAATTTGACCGTGGTGGAGCTACGTTCCTTGTGTAACGATAAGGGTTTGGAAACGTCGAGACTCCGTAAGAAGCAGATTGTGGAGTTGTTGCTCGAGAATGGAGGTGAGTTGCTTACGGTAGGATGTAGGGCTTTCCCGGCGTTGACTTCATTCGATATCGAGAGATCATCGTGTGCGTGAAAATATGAAAAATTCAGTTTCAGAGATACCAGCGGATCTGAAAAATCGTGGAACACCGCGGAAGAGCCCCATGACCACCCGGAAGAGTCTTCTGACGCCCCAAAAAAATCTTTTGGAGCAGAGCTCGAACATTCCCAGGACCGCCACCCCGCGGAGAACGCGCTACCAGCGGCGAACACGAGCGATGGAATTGAGGGAGGCCGAAAATTCGGACAAAGAGAACGACGGTGACGAATCCGAGGTTACGAAAGCCGCTGGGAAAGCGATTCAGATCGCCGACGGTGCCCACGAGAATTCCCCGGTGAAAGAGGTGAAATACGGCGACGTCATGGCTCTCACATCGGTGACCAATTTATTGCTCTCCTAGAAGCAACGGCTTGCTTGAGAACTCCTACATGATAACATGATCCTCTCCTACCGCCTTTCAGTCTCCCGGACTACTTGATCAGCCTCCTGATGTCGGGAACAATTCTCACGGGGGAAGCGCGTCGAGTTCCCCCGAGAGAGCCCTAGGAAATGGAACAGAAAAAGGGAGCGAAACCGAAAAGGTTCTGGAGGGATCGGCGAAGACACCGGAGGATGATGGAGATGCCCCTATGGAAACCCCCGAGGCGAAGGATGACGTTGAGGATGCCCCGACGGGGGAGGCGATCGTATCGAAGGAAAGCGGGGATGCAGTTTCCAACAGCAGGTAAACACCTCATCGATCTTTCATCTGACCTCCGAATCCGCTCCTCCGGAGTCGGCTGCTAACAACAGGGAATTTCGGAGTCTGCTCTCGTGTCTGTCTGCTCATTCTCTGACGTTCAACAGTTTCACCACCGCTATGTCGTCGGCGAACAGTACATTTGACGTCGAGAAAGAAGACGATAAAGAGACTGCGACTCCCAGAAAAAGTCGAAAGAGGTGGTCGACGTCGATAACCGAGGATTTCAATTTTGCTCGGAGGTCGAATTCTTCTGCGGAGCCGACGCAAGACGGCGACGATCCCCCGTCTTCTCCAGGAGATCCGTCTCCTGAACGAGAAGCGGAGTCGGGGAGTCCGGTCGACGATGCACCGAGAGATGGTTCGCCAGAGCGTCCGTACGTTACCCAGATTGATATGAATTATGCTCGAGTATCAGTGAATGCCGGAGTGTATATGTGAAATATCCGACGCCGCCATTCCCCTCCATGTTGAGAACGGCGGTTCCCTACGGAGTGGTTGGTACTCGCGAGTCGCCATCTTTGGACTACGAACCGCATTGGGCGAAAAACTTCCCTGATTGCTCGCTCCAGCTGCGACTCCCTGCGTCGCTCTCGACCCCGAACATATCTCGCAACGTCTGCGTACAAAACGGGACGCATCGGTGGTCTCCGAGACCTCCTCTCACCAAGATTCGTTTCCTTTCTAGACATCTAACACGTCGGCAGACGTTCACGGTCGAAACACCCGCGTCGAAGTCCACTCCCGGCGTCTCGAAAACCTCGAAACCAGGGTTCAAAGCTAGCAAGACCCCGAATTTCAAAAAAATTCACGAGCGAAATCAAGCCAAGTTCGAAAACATCGCAGACTATTCCGCCCGGAAACGTGAGCGGTGAGTGCATCCTCCGCTCTCAAAATGACGAGAGCACCGACCGATTCAGGGAACGGCGTTCGTTCATGACTTTATATTCCACGCTCTCCCTTACAGAATGCGGGCGCTGGTCTCGTCCACGAAAGACATCCGATCAGCTGCTGCGGCCTCTCGAGAGGCAACTCGAACGCCGAAAACACCGTTACGCTCTGTGAAGGCGATCTCTCAATCGGAGACGCCAGCTTCTGAGAGGAAGATTCTATCGAACAAAGTTCGGAGCAACCGCCGCTTCGAGCTTCTCATGAAAGCTCGAGGCCTACCGATGAATGCCGAAGCTCCCGAACACGCCTAGCTCAGGATAATCCAAAAATACTTTTTCCCAAAAATACGTACAATTTAATCTTTAAATTTTCGTCTGATCTAAGCATACGTGTCACTTTCCTCCGTTGTGAAGCTGTGAAGCTAATCGCCTGCAACGAACGTGCGTTTGTGGAATTTTCGTTGAACTGGCTTGCGATTCGTCATAGCGAGGAACATCTCACCATTGGTACTCGAGAGTTCTCTCAACTTGACTCTTTGGTCCTCATTGAATCTGCGTAGTCGATAAGCAACAATCTTGACCATCGGAACATCGAATCAGCCTTCTAGTAGACCCTCTGTGCATGATCTCAAATACGCTTTTAGGCATCCATTTGTCGACGGAAATCAGGGAGGATTAGTGGGGTCAAGTGAAGTCGACCCTCGATAGAGAGGTCCTCCCACAGTATGAGGGGGATAAATAAATGAGGTTTTTCTTCGATTTTTGTACGTGAACGATTTTTCTTCAGACGATGCTCGGGCACATCGAAACGCTTGGTTTCAGAGTACAGGCTTTCATCGTCCTCTTTGACCTTGATCGAGCGGCGTGAACGCGCGGTACAAAATGAAATAGAATCCCTCATTCTTTTCCGTGTATCCTCTTGTACCTCTGCGCTCGAAAGAAGAGCCTCCGATTGTCAATTGTACACGTCTCGTTTATGTACACACTCACTGCATTATATTACAATATTGATACAATAATCATTATTCTATCGGTAGAAATGATCGATGATGATGAATTCGGATTGGTCGGCTTTCATGAACGATGACTTCGATGGAAATTACAGCGGTGAGCCAACAACAGCGTCAACAATAATATAGCATCGAGACACGAGAGATTCGCGTCGAGAATCCAGGAGTCAATGATTCCACCGAGTACAGAGGTCCCAAGACCGGTATCCGTGGAGGGACATTTCCGCTCTCTCGATCGACCAGCCTTCCTGATTTAGAACATTCAACGAACTTCGTCTCGGCTGTACTGAGAGTCCTGGATATAATGAATTCTCGCGCTCCTTGTGAGCCCGAGACAACACGGGGAACCTGACACAAGGGAACGCGTAAGTATTCGAGAGATTGTTGCTGGAGACGAGTTTCGAAAATAAATTATTCTTTCTTGCTATTGTAAACAAACACCTCACCGAATTTCCTCATGTATTTAACAACGAAATCTCTCGTTTTGTGTCGCACGGTTTCATTCACTTCTAGGCTATCTGTGTTTTTGCACTGTCGGGATTCCTTACTTAGGATGCAATGGGTTAATTTGCGGGCGAGTTTCTTGAAATCATCATCGGTCGTAATTCGACCTTGAACGCAATCTTCCCGACGGTATGGCTGAAGAATGTTAACGATGTACTGAGAGATTTGCATCATGAAATTCTCTTTGACACGTCTTTCGTGATCGCCTTCGACTTCGCCGGCATCAACGACGAACATCGAGGGGGGCATCACGGTGGCGACCACCGGTGTCGGCGTTGGCACCACGGTGGTTGGAACAACGATCGTTGTCGGTTCGCTTATGATTTCGGACTCGGGCGAGGCAGTATTCAGGGAGTTATTGTTTTTGATTATATTGTTTATGACTTCCTCGGGCGATTCCTCAGGCGGCACCCACGAGGTGTCGCGCGTGATACTGTTGTAAAAATACAATTGGCCTTCCTCGGTCTTAGCGACCTTCCAGAACTTCGCGAGTCGCACCAGCCTCATCTTCGGGGGAATGGCTTCCTCCGACCGCTGCACGGGATCCGTCGGCGTTTGCGTTATATAGCTCGGATTGAGGTGGGCGGGAATGGCAGCTGCGGGAACGGATGCGATCCCCGGCGGAACGACGTGGGCGTTCAAACTCGGCGAGCCGACCGGAATCCCACCCTGATTCAGGACCGGACCCAACGCCGAAGGAGCTAGAGATCTAGATTGGACGAATGCCGAACCGTAGGTCTGAGCCCCATCGAAATTGGTCACGGTAGGGGCACCGCCCATGTGGGCAGGTAACAGGGGAGCGGCGGCGGCTGCGGCAGCATTGGGCATCTGCATGAGCGGGGGCTGCACCATCATCGGAGGCGGTAGCTGTTTCAATAGTTCGGGAGGCACTGGGACAAAGCGGCCGTTCTCATCGCGGAACATCGGGGTCAGCGTCACCGGAGCTTCCATCATCTGCATCGAAGCGATCTGCTTCTGCAACATCTCTTGTCGCAGACGTATCTCGTCACTCCGCTGAACCTGTAGGGCGAACAGTCGTCGCCGTTCCTCTTTCGAGATTTTCTGTTGGTGCTTATGATAGCGCTCTCGACTACTGCTGGATGACGAGGAGCGGCTCCTGCTCCGCGATCTCCTCGATCGGCGGTGACGACGACTTCGCTCTCGGCTGTGGCTCCTCGATCGGGATCGGGAACGCGATCTTTTTCTGCTTCGGCCTCGAGGAGAATGCGATCGACTGCGGGACCGACTTCGACCCCGCGAGCGTCTCCTCGAACGAATCTCTCGCTCTCGATCCTTGTCGCTCTTCTCTCGACGCTCCTCCTTTTCGGGTTTCTCCTTGCGTTCGTCTTTCTTCGCTTTCTTGATTTCCTTCTCGCGTCTGTCGACTTCTTTCTCGTCCTCTTTACGTCTCTGTTGCTCTAGTTTTGGGATTCTATAGACTTCCTTCAGGGCGTTCCACTTATCTAATAGGAGCGAGACGTTTTTGTACATTTCTTCGTGAGGTTGAATTTTCTCCGAGTCTTGCTCGGTCTTCCGCAGCGCTTCCAATTCGTCGGAGAGATCTGAGGCCAGCTGGTGAACTGAGCCGAGGAGTTTCGAGTCCTTGAGAGCGGTCTTATTGGTGACGGGCAGTTTATCCAAAGTTGAGATCATTTTTTCTCGGAGCTCGTATCCGGTCAGGTCGACGAACCAGCTCCATAAAAGCGTTAAACCATGATAGTCCAGGAACAGTTTCAAGCAGGCGTGAGCCGTACCGGCGATGATGTCCAGCAGACGACACTTGATGTCGGCGTCCTCGGCGCGCACCATGATACGACACAAGTTGAGGATGTCCTTGCGGCTTTTGAGACCGCCCTCCTCGAGGTCGTCGACTTCCTCCTCGTCGATCTCTTCCTCGATACGCGATTTTCGCTCTTCTTTCTTCTGACGCGCAACTTGGCGGCCGATAACGCCGCGGCAGTTTTCCGAGCCACAGTAACACTTCTGCGCTTCTTTGCCGTACACTTCGAATTGATAGTCGAACGTCAATTCCTCTCCAGCTCGCACGGCTCTCTTCGTGAAGAAGCCCACACGTAAATCACCGTTCACGGTCCATTTTTGAGTCTCACAATTCGGATCGCAACTGTGATTCATGTGCCGCGAGAGATTTCCTTTCGACGTCGCGTCGATCACCTGATCGGGCCGCAAGGCCATGAAATAAAAGTGTTGTGCGGAGTCGTATTTCTTCACTCGACGTTTAAACTCGGTCGGCGAGAGGACCTCGCCCACATACTCCATTACAAACATTCCGGCAGGTAGGGGTTCTTGTGCTCGTAGCCCGAAGCCTTTCTGTTCGGCTTGGAAGCGTTCGACTTTCGCGAATTCTTTCCTCTGGAACCTCCGATTCCCGCAGTTGTCGCCAAGGCTGCACCGGGCACCGCATTCGATCATCAGCAATCGATTCAGACAGTCATCCACACATCCCATGATGCCTCGGGAGATCTCATCTTTCGTCAGTGTACAATCGCAGGCCATTCGGCGGAGATCTTTCTGCGAGTTCGGTTTGACGAAAACGTACTCGTTCTCCAGAAGAGGTACGTAACCGAGCTCGGGATCGAACTTCTGCTCTGATTTGGCATCATCGGTCGACGGGGGCGAACGCGATTCGGTGGTGTCTTTGGAACAATCCTTCTCGTCGTCCTGGACCCCAGGCGGCATGAGCGGTGAGCTCGCCGGTGAGTCCGGATTGGGATCGCTCGCATCCGCCGATTGTTCCTGAAATGCAAATACATTGATACGGCATCGGCAGAAGAATTAGCCAGCCCTGGTCAGAGACGCCGAACAGGTGGAAGATCATCCCGAACGGGTGCGCGTCAAGCACGATAACGCCCTCATCGACGCATGAGTCGATGGAAATGTACGACGGCGAGACGCCTCTGAAGTGCCGCCGCTCCATTGGGGATACACGCACGTGAATATTTCGTCCACTCATTAGACGGACGCCGAATCCGCTGGACTGTCACTGAAAAACTCCTTGCTGATGCAACGACTCCATCACGCAGGGAAAGAGAGAAGGGAACATCCATTCGAATTAGAATAAAACACCGAATTTCAATACGATAACTTACCTCGGCTTCTTTGTTCATGGATGCGAGGCGACCACTGCGAGTCTCTATGGTCGTTGCCATTGCTGGCGTTTCCTTCTGCGGTTAGGGAACTCTTCTCATCAACTTTCTACCGGACTCTCAACTTTGACATCGCAAGGGGAATATTTAAAAACCTCCAAAGTGCCTCAGCTTAGTCAGCGCCCCCTTGCTGCAACTCTGTCACAAAATGGAGGCTCACTGCTAGTGCACTGTCTTCCCTTAGTTGTTCACGCGACCAGACCAGCAAAACACGAAACTCCCTTTTGCTCAAGGAATGTCCTCTCTGATCCTGAGGCGGCAATCGGGCGAAGGGTAGTCCAGAACGGTGAATCCGCCGGATCTTCTCGACACTGAACGGCTCGTCGGCAGGTGATTCCCACGCTGGAGCGTCCAATATATCTGCACTCGTTCGGAACTGGCGCGTCCGTCGTCCGAGTTTTACGCCTGTCCTTAAACTTCGGAACCCCTTGTTTCTTCTGAAAGTGGTTTGTGAGAGCGCGCTCTGCCGATCTCATCCGATCCTTCATTGTTGATGAATCGAATATCATTGACCCTCCCTCGCTACATTTGGCGATTTGTCTATTGGCTCATCTGTATTCTCTCCTTTCAACTCGAGCACGAGAATCAGAATCCACCACCCATGCGACCTGGAGTATCGGGGTATCTAAAAGAGGTTGATTCGAGAGCGAGTTGCTCATACGCGATCCACTCGACGACTCGACAGGCATGCTCGCGGACAATGAGGAATGCCCGGGAGCCTTGTGCTGAGGCTTTCCGAACCCTGGTATCCTGTTTTGTAATTTTTCGTCGTACCGTCTGCACGCAATGGGTCGTCCGGATAATGATCTCGATGCGAGTGTCTCGCCCGCCTTTTCACACTTCCGGAAAGGGAAAGGCACAGGAACGGTATCCTGCAAAGATTAGCACAAGCATGAGACCACCCAAGCCCCGGTATTTACTCCATGAGCGTGTCTCGGGTACTTCCACTCGACTGAGTGAATGTGATTTCGCTCTCGGTCCTGAAGTGCAGGCCTTATTGCTCCTCTCGACTCGTGATTCGTGATTCATGATCGACGGAAAATTCACTACGACTTGACGCCTTCTGATTATGACGCCCTGAGCCGTCCCGGGAGTAATTCTTGGTATAGCTAGTATTAGTATCTCTTAGTATCTTAGTATTCGTGTCTCAGTCAGCTCCCTCCACCGCGGCGCGGCGTAGACAATTCTCAGCGAGCATTTCAGAAATCAGCGATACTGCACTGGGGACAGACTCCAACCGACCTTTTCCTTCTGCTCAGAATCGAGGGACGATCCCGAGCTCGGGTGCTGAATAGCTCGATCTTTTCCTGTCCACTCTCCTCGACGACGTGATGATCTTCGACTCACTCACTTCTTCCTTGTATCGCGGAAAAAAAACTTGTCGAAATTGCATCTCATTGTAGGAGGCATCGGCTCGAGTGTCCTCTACCTAGGCTGAGACTTCTGCTGGCGCAATCACTTCCGCTGACGACATCGCCATAGAACATATGGTTCAGGAGTCTCACGCAAAGAGCATAGAGGCATAGGGCCCGCAAGGGCTCCCACCCTTCGATCTGGGATTGAATGTTAGACTACTTGAATTCATGGACACCCCGAAGAATGCAGAGTTTTTCCCCATGAGACCAATGATTGACCGCTTTCGAAGAAAAAGCAGCCGCGAAAAAATCGGGCTCGTCCGGGATTTGAACCCGGGACCTCTCGCACCCTAAGCGAAAATCATACCCCTAGACCAACGAGCCATCTGTATTACACCGTTGATCGAAAGCAAACCAGTGGGTGGAGCTTTCGACTGCAACCATTCACTGCAGTATACGCATGTGCGTATAGTTCGGAATCGAAAACGTAGCAGCTTGACGGCTCCATGATGGAAGCTGCGATTCCGTCGGGCGATCCTGGTATTCGCGAGAGCAGTACAACAGGGTTGCGATTCTTGATTCCTCTGGCGCCCGGAGACTTGAGGGCTGCAAAATATATCTGAGTACCGTACTTTTTGCATCGGTAGGGCAGGCCCGTTTGTTTCTCATCCCCCCTCCCCCTCGAACCTGATTCCCCTATCAGAGGGTGCCAATGAAGGGTTGCCGGCGATCTTTCGATCCCCCGAACCTTGCTTTTCTTTCGAAGAGTGCCCTTCTCCGGAGGAGACCGGTCTGATATCTTAATTCATAGTTCGAGAGAGAACCTCCCTCGCACGGCTTTATCCCACTACAACTATCCCACTACAAGATTTCTTGTTGCCGTGGAGTGCGTTTTCAGCGTTCCATCACGGCTGCTCGTCTTCGGAGATGAAAACGTCTGATAAAGGGTGCCATCTATATTTCGATCTCCCGGAGGGTGCCCTTCTGATGGGGGTATCCCTCTAATTCAGGAAATACGGTAGCTTCTTGTCGAGGACGGGGCCTCCCGACACACGCGAAGATGGCCTAGCGGACGGCGACATGAGAGGCGCCCATCCAAGCCTTTCAGCGATGCTCTCCGCGCACACTCGCTCACCATTTTCGCTGAGGGTGCGACTTTCCGTGGATATTTTTCGTCCTCCGAAACCAAGTTATGAATCTGCGGACCGAGGGATCGAGGTTGAGCCTAAGCAGAGCGAGGATCTGGCTTTCTCTCAATTGACCACACCGCTTCGCAATCGCAGGAATCCTTCTTTCGGTGGATAATCTGGATGAAAAACCATGCTCCGCTAATCGCTCTCGAATCAAGGAGCGTATTCCGGTGGTGGCATTCAGGGACCGGAGCAGTGAATCAGGATACTCCGAGGTTGCGAACATGAATATCTTGATACTCGACACCGAAAGTCTGCGAACGAGCCTACCGAGCTGCGTGCTCTTCTTGGTCATGCTTTCATCACGTGCTTTCTCCGGACGATCAGATAACGTCGCTGGAATCTGGGAGGCGGCGCGGCATCTGCAGATTAAAATGTAGGTCACGTAGATGATTTCCCTGGCTCCGACCGTTTTCCCCCGGGGCAACCCTGGGGACGACTAGTGTCGAGACTCGAGAGGTCGGGCTCTCAGCAAGGCGAACGCTCTGAGCGAAATGTAAGCACTCGATTTCGCCGGGAGATGACATCTGTCAACGCGTATGCAGTACTTCTCGACTTCCGCGAATTCCCCAGAGTCATCGAGAAAGACCGTGCGAAGGGTGGGCTCAAACCTTTACATTAGACATCCGGTGTGATGAGCGACCGACAACATTGTTCGGTAAGCTATTGGGTCTTTCGGATTGGCGCGTGACCTCACGTGTCTTTTCTACAGCTCGCGCTCGTTCTCGATGTGGATTTCCCAAAAAGATCAGAGATGCTGGGATGCGATAGTCCATATGAAGTGTCACTTCTCTGGAACACCCTCTTCTGGCGACCGTTTCGATCGAAGCCCTTTCAAATCGCGCGCTCGCCTCCACCGTCTGCTTTCCCATCAAACGCCATCTTGTTTACTATCCTGTGGCCAGAACTCGCGGCTGGTGCGGCGGCGTCTGTGTGTGGCTGTTGTGTGAAGGCTTTCGGTGCGAGTCGGAGGGCTAGAAGATTTGAGTCTACGCCTGCGCACGCAAAATACGTGACCGATGGCTGACACCGATATCGGCGCGAATTGGTCGCCGCCCGTGGGTACCTTGAAGAAATGTTCGATCTGTTCAAACGACGTGACTGTTAGTTCGGAGCCATTTCTTCTCCCATGCTTGCACACAGCCTGCCGAGCGTGCTTGCCCCTCGAGAAGACTGCGGTAAGTCTCCGAATCCATGTGATAATCATTGCGGTCGACGGTCTCACTCGGAGCCCAGCCGATGGTGACGGTCTCGGCTCGGTCGCAAACTGTCACTTCAAGAACGAAACTCTTTCCCGATCTACAGGTACAATGTAGTTTTTGTGAGCTCACATTTTTCTCTAATTCTGCGGTTCGTCACCTGGTTCTCATCGAGCGGTTAGAACGTGAAAGCCCGAAAGAGGAAGCGAAAAATGATGAGTCCGCAAGAAACATGTGTACATCTTGCGATGAGGGGGTTAGCGCCACCGGGTATGTACCTATTCCTCGGTGCTCCATGCCGAGCGTTTCCCATTTGTACGGGAACCCAAGTCGGATTTTCGAGACGAATTCCCGTGACCAGAGTAGCGGATGCCTTCCCCTAATTGAGTTTCGCTCTCATCCCCAGATACTGCAAGGACTGCGAGGAATGGCTCTGCGGAGGGTGTATCTCGGCTCATCAACGAGTCAAAGTCACTAAGGATCATCAGATACTGTCGACAGAGCAAGCCGGTCAGGCCTTGAAGGCTGCTGCAAAGAAAAGGTTCCAAATGTGCGAAAAACACCCGAAAGAACCCTTGAAGTTCTACTGCAGCAAGTGCAGCACCTTGACCTGCCGGGACTGTCAACTCGAAGACCATCAAAATCACGGGGATTATCTAGCGCTGGCGGCCGCCTGGGAGCAACAGAGACCTCAGTTGAAAATCTTGCAAGAGCGAATCGCGGAAAAGCAGACTTTGCTGAGGGAATACGTTGCGTCGTTGGAAAAATGTCAGGAATCCAACGGAAAGGCGGAGTCAACGGTGGTGAATGAGATTCGCGCCTACGCGATCAAATGTGTAGTCCGAATCAGTTCGCGGGCCAAGGCCTTGATCCGCGACGTTCAACAATTATGCGATTCAAAAAGAGACTCGCTACATTACAAACGTCACGAACTCGTGCAGGTCAGTTTTTCTCAGATTCTTATCGAACTTTGCGTCAGGTTCATTGTTGTCTTTCGAGCCTCACCTACGAACGAAGATTCCCACCGCATGAGGAACATCGACGTCTAACGCGGTAATTCCACGGTTTCAGCTTTGTAAGAAACTTTTGGATTGTCACTCGACCGTGGAAGAGCTGATTAAGACGGGGAGCGACCTCGCTCTGGTCCATTCGAAGTCATACATGGAGAAGTACATGGAGTCCTTGATTGAGAAAGTTGTGCACCTACCCAACTCTAAGGCTGAAATCAGTCTGAAGTTCAATCACGAACCGAAAATCATTGAGCTCCTCGCCACCTTCGGGAGTATAACGGATACGTCGACTCTGCACGTGCGAGGGGTTCCGATGCCCGGTCTCAAGTCGGGTCACAACGGACATGTGAGTTTTTTCAAGAGAACGCACGTCGAGGAGAATTCTTCCGTCTTCTGTCGATCCCGTTCTGAATAGACCTGAAGCGCTCCATCCTCGTCGATGCGACATATGCCGAAGGGGATCGGTGATTCAATTCGGGGTTTCGCGACGCCTGGTGCTCATAGTGACAATCCTTGCGGCTCCTATCGTATCTTGACGAGCTGAATCATTTCATATCCACACTTGACATGACACATTTTTCAGCAGCCGTTGAGACCGCCTTGCCCGACGCTCGGACTGAACGGTCGCGCCCCAGTACTTCCTCCCAGTTCATCGAAACCCGCCCCTCAAGCTTCTTCTACTCCAAAAGACATCTTACCAAAGAGGACGCCATCTTCCCCGATCCCTATTGACAGCTCGAAAGATGACGTTATCACAGGTATCACAGGCGACGTCTTTCGCCGTATTCGCCGAGACCTTGATGACTCTCTCATAGACTCAAAACCTGATCCTCACCGATTCCTTAGAGAAATATTTCCTTTATACTCGCAGGCGATGTAGAACCTACAAATGCGAATGGATCGATACCGGCTGTGATCCCTAGATCCACAGCAACACCTCCTGCAACAAACGTTGCCGCCGCAGGCACCGGTCAAATCGCTACGCCGGCGGCGACAACCACCCAAGGAGTTCCTACGACAGGTGTTGTGACGTCGACCGTAAGCGAAGAGAACGATGCAAGCGACGATTGGTGTGCAGTGTGTCATGACGGCGGAGAACTCCTTTGCTGTGGATTATGTCCGAGAGTCTACCATTTACACTGCCATTTGCCGACTCTGGTGTCCACTCCAAGCGAGGACTGGAAATGCACACTCTGCACACCGATCCAGGAGGATTCCCAACCAGCATCGAAGGACGGCAATTCCAAACGCAAAATACCTGTCGGCCTGAGCGGGAAGCAGCTAAAGATCGCAGAAAAGATCTTGCTGCAATTATTCTGTCACAATAAATCAGCACCGTTCCAAACACCCGTCAGTCGAACGGTTAGTCTCCATCCCATCCAGCGTTCGAGACGGTGATACTCCGCTAGTATTCCTTCGAGTGATAAACCAAAGTCGTGGTGGTCATTTCGGCGTGGATCCCTTCGGCTCAATTGTCTGTCTTGCTCCGCAGGTGCCTAACTACTTTAAAATCATCACTCGCCCTATGGACTTGTCGACGGTGAAGCAGAAGCTCTCAACAAGCCACTTCAATCATTACGAGAGCGCAAGGGCCTTCATTCAGGATATCAAACTGATATTTAGCAATTGCTACACATTCAACGCGAAGGAGTCCACGCTCGCTAAGCAAGCACAAGTTAGTACTCCTCTGATCCGATAGGAGGGGGGGGAGCGATTTGATATTGAATAGGCGAACTTCCACCGGAGCTTCGGGATGGATGAGCCTGCGCAAATATCGAACGTCATTGGATATGGAAAAAGTCTCTCATCATTCCGTTTTTTCTCGGATTCATCGATCTAGCTAGATCGATAAATCGATCGAATAACTGGTCGATAACTGATATCTCGCATTCCAGGTCCTGGAGGAGTTCTTCAAACACTTGATAGAGAAGGAGCTCCCGGAATGCGTCGCTGATCTTAACTCGCAAAATCAAGACGAAGTCGAAGCAGCAAAGAGAGCGAAGACCTCGTAGGTCGACGTCGCGGACCAGGTTGCTGGCGATGAATCGTTTTGGTTTGTTGAACAAACGCGTCCACTGGACACGAATGAGCTCTGATCACTCAATGCGATGCCGAGCGAGGATGCAGACGAAACTTTCACACGGATTCTTGTTTGTTGGGATGGCTGCATCGTGAAAACCTCGGTACGACTTGGCCTCTCCACCGAAAGTCGTATCCGGGGAAAATACGCAAACGCCACCGTCGCTTCCTCAGATTGTATTTCCCCCTGGAATCGTGTCCGATAAGACAGCTCGGAACGAAAGAAGTTGACTCTGTATGTCGTTTGATTCAGATCTTAGAAGCCGCACAGGTCCTGTCCTCCTCCGTCTCGTTGAACATCCGTCTCCTCGCAGAGTCGATCACTTGTAATACTTTCTCATACGAATGTCGTTTCTCGGAAGCACCACCCTCATACTTTTCGCCGATGCATAATCTTCACGAAGAAAAAAACACAATAATTCGATTGAATTTGAAGATCTTCATGATCGCCGTTCTCGGTAATCACATTTCGAAACTCCAAAGGAATCGAGCTGTTGTTCAAGATTGATGCGACCTCATTCATACGGACAAAATGAAAATAAGACCATGAGTCCCCATTGATAATAACAACAACAATTCAACAGTTTATTAAACGGTGTCTTCTTTTCTCGCCTCGACTTCGCACGAGCTCAGCCGAAAAACGCTTCATAGAGGTAAATGATCCATCGAGTAAAACTTGGTGCGACTCGAATCGACGATAAATATGTACTATGGAAACATAAATAGACCATGTCCTGTTATTTCTTCTTGAATAACTCATCGGAATCCGAGTCCGAACCGAAGAGGTTCGCCGATGAGCTCTTCGATTGAGTCAGCTTTGGCTTCTCCGCTTTCACAGCGCTCAGTGTGGAAGTCGTAGCAGATTTCGGGAGAGCTCTGGGCTTCTTCGGACCGAAGAGAGATGCTCCGTCGTCGTCGTCTTCAGAATCACTGAATAAACTTTTGGACAGAACGGAAGCCGGTATCTGTGGAGACTTCGCTTCCGTTTTCTCCTTTTGTGGCACCGACTTCTCCGCTCGCTTCGGGGCGACGGGTTGAGTAGGTCCTCCAGTTGATCCTCTTGCAGTGGAGGCGAAGGACGCAGACAGCGGATCGTCCTTCACGGGCACTGAGCCTTTGGCGGCCGGAGGCACAATGATATTCTCCTTGGGGATACTTTTCTTGCGAGGAGGAGCTTTCGGCGAAAATAGGTCTTCATCACTACTGTCTGAAGCGAATATGGACTTGGTTTTCGGTCGTGGGTCTTCCCGCGACTCTTTTTTGTTTTCTGTCTCAGGCTTCGGCATCGCTTTACCCGGTTCGGTCGCTGTCTGTACGACATCCGATCCAGAAGGTCTCGACTCTTTCTCCGGCACATCGGCAGAAGCGAGGGGATCTTCCACGGTCTGCGTCTTCTTCTGAGCGAGTTCCTCCTCCGAAGATGGACGTTTGACAACCGGCTCAGAGTTCCCCTTGTCCCTTTGGTCCACGGTTTCATCGATTTTTCCAGCGGAAATCCTTTCGATTGACTCTCCAGGTACAGGTTCGGGTCTTTTAAGAATAATAGGCACTTTGACTTGTGCATCTACCGCCGCTTGGGGCAGGGCTTCCCCGGAGCTTTGGACGGGCTCTTTTTTCTTGGCGGCTGATCGGGTCGGGGGTCTACGACCGCTCGGCCCCCGAGCTCTTGCTTTGGCTATTTCGACGATATCTTTGTGATCGCTCCTCATGGCCACGATATCATCTACTTGTGACCCTGTAGTTATTGCCGCCGGTCGGGCTTCCGGAGTTTTTTCGTTGGAAGCGGATTCACGGATTCCCGCCTCAGGCTTAGCTATCCCTAATTGTTGCTGGCGCGCCTTGAGCCCCTGCAGGAGTCCAGCGGGTAGGCCCATGCCGATCTTCTTGACTGCGTTGCTTTTCTCGGCCATGGTTTTGACAGGTTCGTCTTCGGCTGGGGACACCGAATCTGGAAGGGAGTCGACTCGTCCTTCTCTTCCCGCCGGAGGATCTGGTCGCGACTCGAGACCGGATTGCTGAGCCTCGGATCGAGAGGTCTGTTGAAGGCTCTCCGTCGGTGTGTCCTCAGGCTCCTTGCTTCTGGGAATTATCGATTTCTTGCCCGTGTCCAGGGAACCTGCCCGATCGCCGGCTGTGGGGGCTGGTGACTTGGGTTTCAGGAGCAGATCCTCGTCGGACTCGCTATCTGTGGAGAACAGCTTGGCTTTGCCAATGTTGGGCTTCTCGGTCAACTTCGTTTCCGGAGCGCGCTCTTCTTTGGACACTGCTGTTGGGTCGCTCGATTTCGCTCGTCCAGATTCCGTTGACGTGAGAGGGTCTACGAATAATTCCGGAGAAGGATCTCTGGGGAGCTCCTGTGTCTGCGGTAAGTCAATAGACTTTTTCAGAGTAGGAATTTCCTCTTTTCCACTTATAGTCGTAGCTGAATAGGGGTTATCCGAACCTTTCTCGGAAGACGCTACTTCAGGTACTTTCTTGATTGTCTCAGGTTTTGCTGCTGTTTTTTCAGCTCCGGACGGTTTCTTGATGGTAGGGGACGCCCCGAACAGATCATCGTCGCTACCCGAGTCACCAAATGGATTTGGCAATTTAGGAGCGAATTGTTGTGGTCGAGTCGCGATTGGCTTCACTTTGGATTTGGTAGTCTCGTCTTCAGAATCACTACTTCGGGGTTCGATCGTGGGCTTCGAAGAGGATTGGACTTGAGGCTTGCTCGCTACCGGTGCAGAGAGGTCGATCGTCGGCGTCAACGACTTCCTTTTTTCTCGATCAACTTCCTTGTCGCTTCCGAGTTTCACCGGAATCTGTGGCAGTACTCGCACGCCTCTGAACTCTTTTGGCTTGACAATCTGGGCGGACTCAGCTTGTTCTGGAATCGCCGCATCGACTCGAGATTTCTCGGCGGGTTTCTGCGTCGTTCTCTTCAGAGGCCCAAAAATATCAGAATCCGAATCACTGTCGTCGAATAGCGAGTTTTTCTTTGGAAGCTTCGGCAGGGCCTGCGTCGTTTTATCCAACGGCGAACTTACTTTCGTGAAGGCTTGCTCTGCGGTAGCTTTCGGTACGGCTCCAGGTCCGTCTTCTCCCGAATCACTGTCGAACAGCGACGGTTTCGTTCGAAGCCGCGAATCCGGTTGAACTTTTTTCGGCTTCTGCGGATCGTCACCTGATTGCCCACCTTCCTTTTGGGACGGCAACGTATTACCGCGAAAACGAGAATCCGAGTTCTGTTCCGAAAACGATTTTGGAGGCTTTGCTTTCGGGACGAAAATATCACTTTCCGAATCGCTGTCGAATATCGAGTTCTTTTTTCGTGCGAGAGGCTCTTGGTTCGACGATGGTCCTGGTGCCGGTGACGACACTTTCTCCGCGGTCTCAGACTTCGTGGGCGTCAGAGGAGGAGACTTGACGTTTTGTTGATCTCCCGGAAGTCTACCACCCGTTTTCTTTTTGAGTTCCTCGAGGAAAGAAACAGGCTTCGGAATGTCGTTGCGCTCTCGTGGGGTGGTTTCCTCCTGCGGCGTAGTCGCCACCGGGGCCACGTTCGTCGGTTGTGGCGATGCCTGGGACGAGGACGAGCGCGAGCCCCGTCGATTCACCGAGGAGACGGACGGTTTCCTCGATACCCCGAACAAGTCGCCGTCATCATCACTGTCGTCGTCGTCGAATAGACCGCGGGGTTTTCTCGACCCCGTAAAATCTGACAGCGAGGGAGCCAGTGGTGTTTTTTTCGGAACAGCGGATGTCACAGACGATTCACTGTCGGAATCCAAGGGTCGCGCGGTCCCTGAAATTCAGAGGGAATCCTTGAAAATCCTCGCGCTCTACCAACTCTTCTGGTTGGGACCAGTAAGGCTCACAAACACCAGAAATGAGGTTACTCTCTCTATTTTGACTCGTATACGGGTGGCCTCAGCCAGTCAGCCAGTCATTCACTTACCCTGCGTAGAAATGGAAGCCCTCTCCTTCTGGTACCAGGTCTCAGCCTCGGTGGCCTCTTCAATGAGATCGCTTGCCACCGGCGACGTAGTTGACGGCAGGACTAGATCCTCCATGGCTTCGGAAATCGGCGTGCTGCAGACGGAAAACGTGTCTACGGGAGTGAGACCCGCAAACGGATCAGCCTCCAGCCATTGCTTGCTGCCGATGATCAACGAAAACGGTCGATCTCGTGCGAAGCATTCGTAGCCGGTCTCACGGTCGTCGTCGTCAGAGAGTTCTTCCACTGGGAGCAAACCGAACGCTTTCAACCCTGTTCGAACGGCTTCTCGGAGCTCTTCTTCCGAAGCAGCTTTCGCTTCGGGCTCGGGGGTTGGGGGAGTTTTTTCATCTTGAGCTTCAGCGACACGATTCTCAATGAATCGCTTCTCAGAGAGCGTGTTCAAGTCTCCGACCACATTCTGCAGTAACAAGTTCAGTTGAGCTGTTTCGGTAGTCAGCTGATCGAGCTCTTTCGGAACGTCCGCGAGGGGCGCCAGAAACTCGGCAGAGTGCTTTTCCAACCTGTCGATGAGCTCCTTGTCTTTGGCCAGAGACCATTCACCGGTTTCGAACGACATCGTGGATCGCCGGTGGAGACAGCCCGCCGAATTCTTCACCAATCCGACGAACCGCCTGTTGACATCGCTCGAAGACGAGAGAGCAACGGCTGGGGAGCGATTCCGAACGAGAACTGGACAGTAGACACTTTCGGTACCGGTGACTAATTTCAAGTCCCTCCTCCTTTCTAGTTTCCTCTCTTGACGTTGCGCTAGCCGTCGACGTCGCCGACGGCGAGTGTTCGCCGGCTGCTGATGACGATGATCTATCCTTGATGGCTAAGAGTCCCGAGGGTTTTTTAGGAATTCTCGTTTTAATAGTCTGTCCGTGGCATGGGGCAACAAGCTTCGGATAACCGAAAGGATTTTCCGACAAAACGTCTCTCGCACCCTTCGCGAAATCCCTCTCGCGTAATGGCAGGGTTTCGTGGCCGACAGCGGCCGGAGAACTGAATCAATCGTACGATGTTCTGGTCCATCTATCCTGTCCACAATCGGCATAGACCTCACCTTGGACCTCCTTGTATCTCTTCGGAGCGGCGGCCGTGCCCGAGTCGATTCAGTCAGAGAAACTATCGATGTGGCAGTCGAGATCACCGAAGGCTGCTAGGCCCCCCTCCCCTCCCGCTTATCGAACGAAAGAACGGACTGGTGCCCCAACGACGAGCTCTCTAATGCTATAAGCTGAATCGTACGCATCTTGACCACGGAAAGCGGCTCTGATCTGAGACCCAACGGATTCGTTCTGCATGAAGTTCCAGCTTCGTCCGAGAAGACTCCAAAAAGCAGCTCGGCAAAATCCGCGAAAGATGCAGTGACTCGAGTCATCATGGATGACGCTCTCTATGGACGTGTTTGAGGTTCTCGAGGTGTTTGAGCCATGCGCGAGTAGAAGCGGATATCGAGGAAGCGCAGATTTCACCGTTCCCCAGCACTGCTCAGTTCTCGGAATGTACCATTTTGACTGGCATTAATGAAAAAGGTTTTGACTTTTAGAACTTCTTTTGAGATCCACGGCTCGGACAAGGATTAGAGGGGAACGTAGACCGTCTCATTAAATACGGACGCTCGATTCCCAGGAAATGAAACGGCTTGTCAAGTTCAATGACAGGATGCCTACATTTCATAGATATCCGGGAAAGTATTCGGTGCCTCGATGTGACTCGACTTTGCACGACGCCATTGCCATGGTTTTTTTTTCAAGAAGCTGACTGACAGGAGTTCCGGGCAGTATCGTCTCGAACGTTCAATATTTCCAATTCATTTCCATCCCGTTGTTTCATTAACTGCATACTATCCCGGAAGAGCTCATCCCATGACACATCGGATCCCGCGTGACCACACAGATGAAAGCCCAGTGATTCGAGGATTCGCACAGCCCCCTCCCCCTTATTCGAGCTCCAATTTTACGAGCCATTCAATGAGTGCCTCGAGTCCTTGGGGAATATCGATGCCTTTCTTTTCCTAGGGCCGCCGTGCACGGAAGAGGCTCGATCGATAGCAGAGTGACGCAGGGTGAAGCTTCGTGACACGATAAACACGAGACGTGACGAGAGCTGGAATTGCGAGACGTACAGCACAGCGCGGTCCGAATCGACGGCGTCGCCTGCACCGCAACGAACTCTGAGCAAGAGAACACGCTGGATCGGAATCAACGCTCCAGTCGAATCTATGTCGAGAGAGGAGTCGAGTGTTTCGAGAACTAACTTGTATTCGCCATAAACTTGCCAGCAGTCGAAGAGAGGGAAAAACAAAGAATGCCACAACATTGAACGGATATTGTCGTCGTCGTCGGTGGTGAATTAATCAGGGTGAGAGCTCGGTACTAGTATGAACAGACCATCGGTCGGGGTGCTTCGTTCCTATATACAACGAGGGCTCGGTCGTTTGTCGCCGGCCGGGCCCGGCTGGACGCCAGATTTTGATGAGATGCTGGTCTTGATCCTCGCTGAGTTTCGCTGGGGTTTCGTACGTAGTTGAGGCGAGCTACTCTTTCGAGCTAGCTAGCGAGCGAGTCGATCATCACTTCTTTTTGACTGGACCCCGCGACGGTGTGACCGGTCTTCCCGAGTTCAGACCCTGGTACTGATACTTGGCTTTCTTTTCTGAGGGTTTCAGTATTTGGAAAGAGCACATCAACGTTTCGTCGACGCTCATCATACCGCCCGCGTTGTCGAATTCCCCGCAGTAGTTGGGAGCGGAGAAGAGCGTGACGAGTTGCCTCTTGGCGAAAAATTCGTAACCGTCCTCCACCACTTGGTGAGCACGGCAGATGAGGTCGAGGTCGTGTCTCGATAGGAATTTCGAGACGACGTCGGCGCCGAAAGTGAATGACACCCCGCGGTCATTTTCTCCCCAGCCCTGGACGTCTTTGTCGGGGTCCGACCTGCAACAACAAACGTGTCGTTACCGTGCCGTCGAAGAATTCGTCGAGTGCGACCATTATCATGTCGTCGCCTCCGCCGTCGTCGCCGGAGAACCCAGCATTTCCTCGTCGGGGTGCCAAGGAACACAAAATAAGACGTATGCAGCGAGTTAGATCACGTAGAACTCACCACAGAAGATCGCAGAGTAAGCCTGTGTCCGGAACGTCGGTGGGTCTCATGATGCGACGGATCTGCTCCATGTTTTGTAGGTCCGGGGAGAGGCCGCCATGGCAACAGAAGATTTTCTCATCTACGATAGCAGCGATCGGGAGACAGTTGAAGCAGTCGGTGAACGTCTTCCATAACTTGACGTTGTATCTGGAGGGAAGCAAACACACGAGATTTCACTTAGTCACTTGCGGGGAAGGCTCGCCCTGAGAGCAAACAGCATCGCTTCGACGAGCTGGACAGTTCGGCCCGGAGAACCTACACGATCTCTTGGCATTCCGAAGCGAACGGAAACTTCCTATGTCTAGCACCAACGAGATTCGACGAACGGTATTCTCATGCAGCACTTGTTTTATTTATCTCCATTCTCAAACGCAACTCCTATAACATCGAGCTACAGAAATAATCGCGTTCGCGGGCTTTGCCACCGTCGAACAATTATTCAGAATGAACAAGGGTTCCCGACCAAGCTCTCACCTGCGTTTGCATTCGTCGTAGAATCCGTAAATGCGATTGATGGATGCACATTCGTGGTTGCCCCGGAGCAGGAAGAAATTCTCTGGATATTTGATCTTGTACGCAAGCAGTAAACATATTGTTTCCAGAGACTGCTTCCCACGGTCGACATAGTCACCGAGAAACAAATAGTTCGCCTCTGGAGGGAAGCCGCCTGCAATCAAAAACATTCATGACTCAGTATCGAGAGCTGTCGTGCCTCGGAAATCCCGGCCACTGATCCCTCTTGGTACACATTATGCAGCGGGATCTTGACGCACGCGCCAAAGTCCAGTCGCAGACTTCCCCGCATGCCGACGGGACGTTTGGATGATAGTTAGCGGCCCCAGCACGGAACGAGCGAGGATTTCGTCCGAGCGACAACCGCCTAGATTAGACTCCAGTTTTCGGCGGAAATATGCAGGTGCCGGTTTCCACCCGACCCGCTCGAATTTGCCATCCGGGACCAGTATAGCGAACCCTCTCTCCGGCGATATCCAGCTGTTGGTAGGAGCCTGGCTCTCGGGGAATTTATTTCGAAAAGCTCCTTTGCCTCTGACACGAGGGGGAGCTCTCGGCTCTGGATGGCTGCCTGCGCACGGAAACCACGAAAGCCTTAAATACACCCGGGAACCGCCTCCACGACACGGTCGCGTTAGCTATCAACTACCTACAGCTGATTCCTACTACGAGCCGCTGAAATACTTGTTTATCTCTTCGAGCCGGAGTTTCTTTCCATTCACTGTGATGCGTCTATAAATACATCGCAGCCGAAGTTGACGATCGACGCTGACGAATTCAAATAAACACTCGAAGAAATGTGTTTGTCATGTTCGTTGAGGCATGAGGAGGTGCTGATCTGTTTGAATTCATCCGCGACGCGAAGCGTATCATGGAGCAGGTAGTTCAACAAGAAGCGCTGATCGTCCACATCTATGCAGCGGAGATATTTTAGGCATTCGGCCAGTCGCATGTGATTGCGGCATACCCTCTTCGATACTGACGCATTCCGTTTTTGCGTCAAAATTTCTATGAAGTAGCGGACCTCTGGCTAATTCAACCGTCGCGCGTTGGTCGTTCGCCGCTAGTCTCGATTTTCCGAAGACTCATCGAGAGCCGGTACGAGCCTTGACGTCGTCCTACGAGAAATTCCACGCCACTACTGTCGAGATTAGAGGTTCGAAGCGGATCGAAAGCGGACCGCTGCAGGCTTCTGTTCGAAGTGGCATCTTGTCGGGAGCTCCACCGGCAAACGCCGCCACCGCCGCCGCCCAAGCGCCGTAAAAGTGTCCCAGATAAGCAATCCGACGACGAGACAATGTTTATAAATACAACGCGAGGCGCAAACAAGCCGGGACCGAGCTCAGCGGATCCGGCGCCCCTAGAAATCGCTCTTCGAGGATCAATACCTTCCGGGGATGAATCCACTCACATCGCTCGCTTCGTGCCGGGATCAACTCGCTAGCTCCGATGGCGCTCGATCCCGGAACAGCTGCGAGCTGGGAAACTATCTCGATCGAGAAGGGTTTCCCGCACATGACGGTAACAAGGACGACGTTAACCTCTACGTTTGCCGCGCCAAGTGCGAATCCAAGGTTTCAGATTGCGCATGAAAAAGTCTCGGGGAGTCCAGCTCGATTGAGAATGAAATTTTTGTACTGGTGAGCTCCGAAGTTCGACGACAATCATCCGAAGAGCGCACCGAGTCTCGGGATAACATATGGACCACAGTCTCGATGATATATTGACTACACACGAGTATCGCACATTTCGAGCGATCGGATCGAGCAAACAACACCGTCGTCATCCGAACGCGTCATCCGAGGGGATATTTACATCAGTCGATATGAGTCGATCGTGAGATTCATGTTCGTCACCGTCGAAAAAAACCTCCACCACACTCATTGTCAGGAACAAAGAGGAAATGTCTATTACCTCGACTCACAAAAAAGAATAGACACCGTCTCCGACGAGACAACGATTCTTGAGACTCGACGTGTATGCACATTCAATGAATTGGGAGAAACCTTGATGTTTCGCAAAGACGGTCAAGACCACTCCTGGGTTCTCCCGGATGGGGTCCAAGAACTCGATTCCGATTATCTGAGGTCTATTGAGCGGGAAAGAAAGGGAATTTTCCCGAACCGGGGAGGGGGTCCGCCGCCGGAAAATTCTGCTCGACGGGTTCCCGTTCAGCTAATTTTTCGGCAGGAAAAAAACGCCGGCCAATCGCGGCTTACACACGCGAGCTCGCACACACAAACATGCCGACACCATAACAATAGTGGCTAAACTTGACCTAAAAGCACCAATAAGCAGAGCTGTAGTCATTGATTGTTCATCACCGACCGGAATTGATGCTTCTGCTGTCATGAGAGTAGGCCCCGATCCATCACAGTACCGAACCCGTCCTCGGACTCTCTACACAGAGAGCCGATTGGCGAGACCCGCTGACTTTCAACGTCGAGGAAGAACTCTCGGTGTTCGGACCGTGACCACACGTAGAAACGGACACTAGACTATATATACACTTGGCCACCATAGCACTCACCGTACTCGAAGAGTCTTAGCAGATCGGTATACTGTCCGTGAATATCGCCACAGATTTTAAGCGGTGCCTCAAGTTCCAGAAGGATAGGTTGCGAGTGGAACAATTCTCTGGACTTCAAACACAGCGCTCGAACCTCGGCTTCGCTCAGTTGAACCGCTCTACCAGGCCTGGAACTTCGGACTTCCAGCAGGCGCGAGATTACCGAGTCTACATTGAGGTCTCCTTCCCCAGACATGCCTGCTGGTTATGCGAACGTTGAACCTTTTTCCGCAGTCCGACCGTGCGTTCGTTCGTCTTGGATGGTCTCGGCTTCCCGACTCCTCTCGGAGTTCTGACACAGGGTAGGCTCGATCGGAGGCTCAAAATCCCGCTCTGTGGACACTGACTGACTCACTCGAGCAGGGATTTGCAGTAGCTTATTCTAAAGTTGTTGAACAGCAAGCTGGCCTCCTCCTTCGCCCAACTAACCAAGCAACCGACCGATCGAGCGAGCGCCGACCGACCGACGACGTCAAGCAACCCACAGATCACCACCACCGCTGCCACCACCGCTGCTGCCAATAGACTAACACACAGGGCACACAGGAGGCAGCGGCCGCTGCAGCAGCAACCGCCAGTGAGCCCTCTCCTTCTAAATCTGTCACAACGGCACGCGGGCCCCGAACTGGGTGTGGGATCCAACTCGAACGGTCGAAGGGCGATTTATGGTGCTGGGGGATCTGAGGGGAGATCCCATTCAGGGGTCTAGACGGCTCAAGTTCAACTGAACCGAAACTCGTCTCTACGAACTTGGAGACGCTGATGTCGGTGATCTTTGCTTGCTCCCTGATCCGGATCGGGCGGCGCCCCCGGAAGGAGTCGTACGTCTTCCAGCGATCTGTCCCCGTGGACAACGATACTGTGCGGAGAAGCTTCTCATTGGATATGACGAGGGCTCTCAATTCAACTTTGATTCGGATAGACTCTACTGATATACAATCGGGGCCGACGGTATTCATCTCGACCGAAATCCGATCGTCCTGAAAACCGTTGCCATTATCGCGCTCCGGATTTCCTGTCTTACGATTGGGGCTCTTACGATGATAAACTGTAGTACTTCCCTTCCCTACAACCGATCCGAAGCCCCCTAATACCTCGAAGCCTGGCATGAATGCATGAATGATTGGCTGCTGATCCTTATTAGCCGCTTCGCGAATCGCGGGGCAGCTAGACCAATGTCTGACGAGTGGTGCTGAAGAATAATCGCTGATTATTATCGGTGGCCCGCGCCGCGAAGCATGCGCGATGAATTCGAGCCTGAGAGTGAGGGAATTCTCCGCTGCGGATTGATCTCCACAAGGGGGACCAATTGTGAGATATCGCAGAATGAATCGAGAGCGCGGCTGGAAGGCATTAAATTATTGCGAGCGGCAACGTGAGTGAATGTGCGCGAGGAGTGTGGGGGAAAAACTCCGGAGACGAACGGATTCTCAGGATGAACCTCCGTATGCAGAGATCGAGGATTCCTCACGCTGATTACAGCTTCCGCTCATCGGGATCCCAGGATACGCGATTCTCCATCTCGAAGCTGCATCCATAATACTATTGGATACAAGCATAGAGTTGATGACCTCAGCAGTGGGCCGCGTTCTACGATGTATTCTCAGCTCGGGTATGCTGAGCGTCCCTCGCCGCAAGCGGGAAGTTCGTTTCGAGCCTGGAGTTTTCCTCGGAAATCGCCGGCTTCGCCCTGGACGACAATGCGGAATGGAGGGTGCTTCCGAAAGGATGAGACAAGGTAAAGAAGAGATCATAGTCCCCAGTCCGCCTCCAATGAGCTTCGCGATGTTTGACAGCTCTATCAATGATTCTTCTCCTACCCTATGATCCGATGACTTGTTTAGGCTGCGGGAGAACGACTGTTGAGGATCCCTCCGGCACGCAGTCTGCGGTTCCTGTGGATGCGGAGCGTTCCTGTCAATGCCCAAGACGGCTCCGGTAAGAGGGGCTGGCGTAGTTAGCACTTCGCCACGACTTTGGAGAAAGACTCGCAATGTGACGGGAAACTATTAATCTTGTGCACGGAGCTCCCCGGTACTTCGAGCGGCAGGCGGTCGGCGGGTGCCCTCTCATCTCATCCGCATGCAGGTTTTTTTTTTGGAGTCAGACGGCTCCGACCAGGAATCCAGCTCGTGGCACTGTCCGCGAGTGCCATGCTTCGAAAATCTCATCCCACGGCGAAGCATCGCAGCGCTGTCCGCGATGCCCGGGACCCCGAGGTAAGAATCACTGTCTCACGCTAACGCTAATCTAGCGGGCGCTGTCATCTTGTTTCGACCGTCTCTCTGCCGTCGTCCAAGTTCGGGATTTGGAACCCGCACACAGGAGGATCCTCGGATCGTGTCTGGGATGGGAATCCGAAATTTCTCGGGAAGCCTGTCTAGATTGAGTTCCCATTCTCGCGGACGATTTTCGAGGACGATCCTCGCCGAGCCTCCGCTGCTTGTGATGCGAAAGGGATTCGCGGGATTGTGATGAACTTCTCAGAGTGCCCGCTCCCACCCCTCTCTCAACACGACGACCACGACGGACTCCGCAGAAAGTTCTGACACGGCCTCGTTTACCCATAGTGTCTGGGTTTCCCTGGGTTTCTGTGAGTGTTGTCTGCTCGTCTCCTGTAGCAGAAGGCGTGCGCGTCTGCGAGTGAGTGTGAAAGTGCTGGTGCTGCCAATGGCTTCAGTGGTAGTCTTATCTCGTACAACCACACTACGTGCGTTAATTCCTTGTTGAAAATTGTGCGTCTTCGAATTTGCTCCCGACGAGACTGTGAGCATGCACTGAAGTCTTCAGGGCCGACGATGGAGGTGGACAGCTCATCGGAGGAGGCATCGGCCCCTCCAACAAACCTTCAGCCTCAAACTAAGTTGAAACGGAGCTCCTCGGCGCCTTTGCTCATCACTCCCGCTCTGGGAGCTCTGTGGTCCCCCGCGAGCACTTCGAGGCCGAGTAGTCCCGTTCCTCTCGCGGGCTTTCAGGGAGCTCACTTTAGGTTGGTGCATTCCGAACCCCTCTGGACTTAGTGTACGGATACGCCACGTTTTCCATCTCGTTCCTCACTAATTCTGGCTTTTCTGTTCGCTCCATTAGGGAAGGTCTCCGGAGTCGGACCATGTCCACATCGGGTAGCCCACACTCACCCGTGGTGCCACGGGTCCACCAGATTCGCGCGGAAGAAATGGAAGGCATCGCGATGCGCGAAGCGTTGCAGGAGCGCGAGCTGACGTCCAAGTTGGCCATATCGCAGTCCTGGGACGACCTCAGCATCGATGAACAGCCGTCACCCTCGAGTCCGGCTGGTCAACGTCGTCTGCATTCACCGATATTCAACTGCCCCTCACCGAATCATCAGGCCCCTTCGCCGAAGCAGTGTTACTCTCCATCGATCCGCCAGGCCATGAGGGCTCCGTCATCGCCTTCGCCTACCCGCGTACAGAGGCATCGCTCCCAGAGTCCTCATTTATTGTTACGACCGTCGTCGCTGGGCGCTGTCAAGAGGAAACTCAGCTCCGATTCCGATCAAGAAGCGGACAGGGCAAAAAGGCTCTTGACGCTCGAGGAGAAGGAAATGATTCTCCAAGTTTCCCCCACTGATCACAGTTGAGCGTGCGTCCCCGCTCGTCGGCTCGCTTCGATTCGCCCGCATATGTCGCGCGAGCCGTATGCAGCCGCGAGCGACGACTCTCCATGTTAACCAAAAACCCCGAAAGCGGACTCGAGAGACCTCGCCGTCCGCGTTGTGTAGAAACAAGGCTCTTGTGTAAATTATATCAATAATAATATCATCATCATTTTATACTATGAATAGGAGATGTATAATTCCTCGGTAGGTGTAAATAAATGGAAGCTAGTGATTAGAACGAGTGGAGCGAGGACACTGCTTACCCAACTCGGACTCTGTCCCGGACCCTCCCTTATGTTATCCCCACTGCAATCGTTTCCCACGTCACGGGTTCGGTGGAGAAGACGCATCGAGTGAAGTTTGGTCTCTTATCAATAGATATTCGTGTCCGGAGGCGTGATCGCAAATTCCCTCGGACAATCTCGTTGAATTCTTGACTCTCACCTAGATATCGAGCGTTTACCTCATCCATCGGTCTTCTCAGGAACTGGGGAAGGCCGCGAAGATGAATTGTTGTTTTTCATAGAGAACCAGCCAGGGTCTAAGTAAATGGAATAAAAACGCAAACATTGCTACTGTTTTAATGTATACAAAAGCAGCGATTGAATTTATTCGTCCGGCCTCACGGCGGTCTATGATTGAGCTACTTCTTCTTCTCTTTCTTCTTCTGCTCCTCGTCGATCGGGGCGGGCTTCACGAATGGGATTTTTTCTCTGAACTGCTCCGGCATCCAGGGTCGTAGGGCCTCCGGGACTCGAATTCCGTCCTCCTCCTGACAATTTTCGAGGATACAGCATATGACTCGAGTAGTAGCGCACATGGTCGCGTTCAACATGTGCACGTAGGGGGTCTGGAAAGAGGAAGTTTCGGTCTGAAGAACAAAATCGAGATTTTTCGGACGCACAGAGAGGTTATCACGTCGGGGAACGCAAGATAGAGAATGGTTCCCCCTTCTCTCACCTTTTCGTTCATTTTCTTCGTTTGTCCGTAGCGGATTTGCAGTCTTCTGGACTGATAATCCAGACAATTGGAACACGAGACCAGCTCACGGAAAGCACCACTTGCGGGGAACCAGGCTTCGAGATCGAACTTCTTTGCCGCGGCATTATTCAGGGCTCCTGAGACGATGTTCACGATCCTGTACGGCAGGTTGAGAGCTTGGCAGAAGGCTTCGGCGTTGCCGATCATTTCATCGAAGGCTTTCCACGACTCGTCGTCGAGCGGGGATGTGATTACGAACTGCTCGATTTTCTCGAATTGGTGAACCCTGAAAATTCCCCTGGTGTCTCTTCCATGGGACCCGACTTCCTGGCGGAAGCAGGTCGATAGACCAGCGTACTTTATGGGCAGATCCGCTGGAGACAACCATTCGTCCTTGTGGAAAGCACATATCGGTTGTTCCGAGGTCGCAATCAGGTATTTCTCGTCAACTTCCTTCTCGTCGGCTTTTTCGCTGCCCTTGCCGACAACCTTGTACAGCTCTTCATCGAATTGTGATAGCTGAGCGACTTGTTGCATGACGGCTTTTCGCATGAAGAAAGGTGTGTACAAAGGGGTGAAACCTTTTTTCAACAAGCTTTGCAGAGCTAGTTGGATAAGAGCCTGCTCCAAGAAAACCGCAGCACCTAGGATACGAAAATATGAGACCTCAGAATTAAAAGTTGAGAGAAACCGTAAATTTCCTCGCCGGGTCCTGCCGGGGAATCAGTTCATTGACTCGCCAGTTTCGAGATTTCGCGAATTACCTTTCAGGAAGTAGCCTCTGCCTCCAGCGACGACTGTGCCTCTGTCACCGTCCATACCGTCGATCATGACTATCAAGTCCACATGTGAGTACTTCTTCGAAGTCGTGCAGTCTCCGTACGTCCTTATCACAGCGTTATTGTCTTCGTTGTCCGAGATAACGACGTCTTTCCCGAGCCAGTTGGCAACCTCACGGAGATTCTCGTTTCTCTCGGTCTCCAATTCGACAAGACGCACATTTGTGGACTCGATCGCTTCGGCGATTTTTCCAACCACCTGGTGGAGAGTAATCTCTGCTCAGTTAAAAGATGCAAGCATTCACAGAATTTCCATCAGCCCTCATGTTACATTGGGTGCTCCGACTGCCCTCGGGGAAGATTCGCGCTGCTTTTGGCTTCCCCGAAGAGTTCGTATACATCGACCCGAGGACCACCGATGGAATGGATTGCACGGAATCTGGTGCAGCCAGGAGAAATTTGGTGTGATGATGCGAATCATCCGAGAGTTGCGTCATCCCCGCGCTGCTTGCATGCTTGGGCCTGGCCTCCGGTCGAGCACGACGGGCGTCATAGACGGCGCTTCTTATCGTCATCGACGTATATTTCCCGGAGCCTCCCCAAGAATCGACCACTACCCAGGTCCATAACCGCGAATGATGATTCTCTCGAAAGGATCCTAATCCGGTGTGGAAAATTCGACGATGCAAAGGGTGCGATCCATTTTTGCCTATTGTGACGAGTTGGATTGATTCACTCACAGTTTTGATCTGGTTGATGCTGAGTGCCGATATGGCATCGTTGAGGAGTTCGTGGGAAAGCGCGAAATCTCCCGGGAGATCCCCTTCGCCATCGGCTTCTTTTTTCTTCTTCTTGTCACCGATGGCTTTGGAACAAGAGTTCCGCAACTTGTTCCACTGATCCAGAACGTGCCTTTGCCGTCTCCATTCGTTGTCGAGCTCCACGACCTGTACGAATAATTGTCAAGTTTCTCATCTCAGTCAGACTCATGACTCTGATCAACTCGGATTTGCGTACTCTTGGATACTTCGAAATTCTATCCATGGATGGTAGAAGTCTCATGAGCCGCAGATCGCACTCCGCCGTAGGCTCGCTGATGAGCGTTTGGTTACGGAGGAGACGGGGGTGAAATAGCGTTGACATCTGTTCGGCTACCGAGAGACGGAATGTTTTGATTCAATTTACCTTATCGACCAATGTCACGTCTTTGAAACGATCGGCTTGATTCTTGCGAATCTTCTCCGCAGAACCACCCTTGTCGTCCCTGAAGTCGTCGAGTTCGAGAACCATTTTCACTGTTTTCTATGCTCTGGCGCGTGCGAAAGACAGCAACCGGCACGAAACGTGGAACACACACTGTCGGGGAGTGTGAGCGCTAAATGCAGAACGCGTCCGAATCGAAGCAGGCTGAATGCACCCGGAGTTCCTCTCGTAGAGGAGCTGGCCCGCGCAGTCAGATGAGGAACCCAACGCCGCGCCTTACTCATGACGAAGACTTCGAACTCGGGCCGTTCTACCTCTCTCGGCTCTGTGCGAGGGAGTTGTCGAGCACGCTTGGAGCTGGTGGAGCTCGTTGTGCATGAGCAAGGAAATCCTGTCGCAAGATGCACACCGGATCGGTGACAGGGCTTCACGTAACTCAGGTCTCAACTCCGAAAAGGCAACAAAATCCTCGTCTAGGAGTCTTATGAGTCGCTTTCCCGGTCATCATGCTGACGCAATGATGTATCCACATCCCTGCAGCAATTGTGAACATACGGGAATTCAACGGGCTCGAGATTCGCTACTGTCTAGAGCGGAGATACGATGAATGTTCATAAATAGAGCTGCGAAGTTCAGGCATTATGCCTCAAACGCCTAATTTTGCCTTTTTCAGCGGAAAGATGGCAATTTTTCCTATTTTCGGTTTTCCCGGCTAAAAATGCCTATTTTGGCTTGATCGGCGTCAAATTTCAAGGAGAATGCTGGGAATTTCGGGTCTTGAGTCCTGTCACTGCTGATCCGGATACACCCCTCGGTCGAGAGGTGCGTGCTCAGAAAAATCATGGTGTTCGAGAGTTCAGGACGTGGTTGAGCGATAACACTGAACGGAATTCTTCCCCCGGATGGCGTTGTAAGATTCCGTAAACTGGATAGAGCTCAAAACTGGGGTGGGGATCACCGAATCGGAGCCAATCGAAGTGATTTAGATGGCAAAACACCTGCCTTTTATGCCTATTTTGCCCAGTTTCAGTGCCTATTCCGGTGTTTTTGGGTGCCTTTTTGCCTGCCTTTTCTTCGACTTTTTAGTGCCTGAACTTCGCAGCTCTATTCACAAAGGAAACCTTACCCTTTCGTAGTGTACCAGAATTCTGATTTATCGAGCTCTCCTATCTGCACCGATTCATCAGGCTGAGATGCTATTCCCCCCCTTATGCGAGCGATTCGAAATCGCCTCGACCGAAGCAGGATCAGCCACCCGCTCATAAGATCATCTTTGGAAACTTATCCGGTCAACCCTGTCAATGAGCACGGCATCGATCTCCCGTGCTTCCCTGTCGAGCAGTTTTGTCGCGCTCACGTTTTATTGTTCACCCCCCAGCGAATGGCTGTGAGGGTATTCGTGCCCCAGATGAAAACGGCATGAGTCCGATAGAATGATAGTCCGTACTGTTGGACGTGTGGTGTTCTGAGCTATCGATCTCTCAGCGCCACGTCACCTGTAAGACCTCAGATACTGCAACGCCGATGCCTCGCACAACATTCTGATTCGACCCGAAGAGAGACTCGGACTGAGCCTCTCTTCTGTTCTGGGCCTGAATCTTTGTGCTGCCAACGCCGGGGAGCTGGCTTCATTGCCCATCTCGGCTGGATTCTCCGGAGTTCGCTCGATTTCTTATGTGACAGCCAGCCTGGAAAAGATGGTCACCGCTGCTGGTCATTCGGAGCTGGCTCGCATTACCGAGTCGGACAGAGAGAGAGCAAGAGCAAGGCCGTTCCGTTTCCCTGAATTGGCACGATACTGGAAAACAACACCGACCGGCTCTCGATTTGGCGTGGAGATTTGCGCTCCTCACCTGTGGGCTCCGTGCTACCCAGAGGTGACTGCGTTCGGCGGTCACGGCTTTAATTGCTCGCGGAGCAGCGGTCGCGACCGTCGTCCCGGAGCCCTCGACGACGTGATTCTGTACATTTTACCATCCGTCCTAGTCGCCGAGGGAGCCGACGGGCTCCTCGCGAAATTCCGCTCTTCGCCGCTCTGACGCTATTGTCATGGACTCAGGAAAATACCTCGTATGGGACTCCACTGTCCTGGGTGTTGTGCTTCTCGCCACAAAAACGGAGTCTCGATCGTGATTCTATATGAGAGACACTCGAAGCTTGGACGAAACAGTCCGTCCGATCGGATGTGCTCCCGTTGTAGACGACACTTCATGAGACTCACTGTCTCCGAGTCCCAGGTGGGCTGCCGCCTGCTCATCTGGAGCAGTTGTGAACTTGGCAAGCTGGCGAAGCGTCACGAGCTTGAGGGCGGGTTAATTGTTCAATCCGTGGCTATCGAGACCCTTGGAGTGCTCGTTCCAACCGCAGAGCCCTTTGCTTTCCAACCGCAGAGCCCCGGGGGAAATCCCAACTGGAATCAGCTGAGTTGCTTGCTCGTGCGTTCACTCGCTGATTCGCGGTTACGGATAAAATTAATCTTTCCTTGAAGAAAAAAAATAGAATGATGTGAGGGGCTGTAATCTGATGTCAGGCATGTTTCGGACCCGCCATACGGTGGCGATCGTCTCGATGATTTTTGTAATCTGCGCTTTCTAGTCATGGATACACTGGTCCCGCTCCCCGATGGCGCGCCGGCAAGTTTTCCGAAGGCTCGAGCTCCCGAGGAGGAGGATTCTGTCAACTCATGAGCAAATAATGATGAGGACATCGTAGCCCTGTCTAGGGGTCGCCACCGATTCGGAAAGCCGGTCTGAAAACCGGTTCTCAATCGACGAAAAGAATGGTCTTAGGGACCGGTTTCCACCGCAAAAAAAAGGTTTCTCGGGGAAAAAATGCGAATCTCCCTCAGAGGGACCCAGACCGGGAGAACTCTTCTTCTGAACGAGAACTGACTTGACTTATAAAATCATCTTAAGGATCATGAGTGGGGCTGTGTATCTGTCGCGGTAACTTACCGCAGAAATCGCGACTTGCCGCGGCCTCCATGGGATATGCATGGGGAGTCGACCTCGAATACTGGAAAGATCGCGTTTTGCGGCAAACTAAGTGCTGATCACAGTGCCATGTTCACTCAAGCACCCCGGCTGACGGGTTCGATCTCGCAAATTATGTCGTGATCGGAATCCGACGCGGTCTGAGCGCGTCTGTTAGCTATAACGGAGCAACGCGCTGCAATTTGACATCTCCGCGAATTCACTCGTCGCAAAGCTGAATCGTACTCAACTAGATTCTATCGAGAAGAAGGAATGGGATAGAAACGGAAATCGAAAACAAGCGCTCTCGTTATCGCTGATCACATTCAGTGAGCTCGCTCCGCAGCTTCGAACAAAAGCATTTTGGTCGATCAATATTCCTGTTCGCCCTGCGGTCTTACCCAGTGTTTCGTGTCGGAGCATACCCGTTTCTTCATCGGAAATATGAGCACTCGGGTACTAGAACTTCCAAGAGCTTCGTTTTGCATCACTCCACGAAGAAAGCGAATGGCGAAGAAGCGGATTGTGCCCATTGCGACAAGACTTTGAAGTGCAAGGCAGGATGCACGAGTTTTTTGGCAGCGCAATTGAGGGATCAGCATCGAATCACCAAGGGGGTTGACTCGCCAAGTTCACCTCAATCTCTATTGAGCCTCCGCCCGACTTCCGTGCAAGAAATACGCGAAATCAACATTTCTTCGCTCGCGGCGCTCGATAACAACCCTTTCAAGATCATCGCGACGTCTCCGGTGCTGTCCAACGTAATCTTCAAATACACAGGCCAATACGCACCAAAATCAGAGAATACTATTCGGGAAATTGTACTCGCGGAAGCCGACCGTGCTCAGGAGGTTGTTTAGGGACGAAGCTCGGAGATATAAAAAACGGGTCGTTCCTTTTCACTGGTGTTTGATGAAGCGACTGCTCCGAATAGCCCTCTAAAATATACATCGTTGATGCTCCAAACCGAACCTTCTGATTACAACGATTCCACGACGTGTCGGAACTTGTATCTCGGTTTGATAGAAGTAAGCGGGAATATCACCGGAGACGTTATCAAGCAGGCGATCGAAAATCGACTGAGCAGCTTCGACGTGAACATCGCGAACTGCATTTTCGCTTGCACCGATGCAGGTAGCAACATGAAAAATGCGGTATCGAAGCTAGATCTGACTTCGCAGCTGTACCTCATTCACGGATTCACGGCTTGAACATCTGTCACGGGAAAGTTTTGAAGAATACTTCAATCAAAATTCGACCAAGCTCCTCTGCGAACGATGTCGAAGACTTCCTCGATACCACACCTGCAGTCGGAGATCGGAGATAGCGATGACTCCGCTAGTGAGATATCGATTGATTCGGAATCAGAGGAAGTTGAGCAAATTGAGGAAGATGACTTCTCGCCATCAGTTGGACAAGCATCGCAGGAACTGCGTAGAACCCTGAAGAATATCAGAGGAGCGGATACAAGCGCGAAAGACTTCGCGTCTAGACTGCGCTCTCAGAGTACAACGGAAAGTCCCTCGGCATTCTTCTCGACACCCGCATTCGAGGGTACTCTACGATAACGATGTTGGAGAGAGCGTTAACCATCATGCCAGCCCTTAACTCGGTTATCGTTTAGAATGATAACTCGCCGTTCCGCCGGGAAGCGATCGAAGATTTGCAGGGGCTTCTGGACGTCTTGCGGCCGTTCCGTACCGCAATGAAATCTCTCTGTTCAAGCAAAGCTACGTTGGCCCACGCCGACCGCGTTTTATTCGTGCTCTTGGGGACCTCGCGACAAATTCGCACCAATCTGTCAACCTCGCTACACTTTGCGGTCAACCAGGAGACCCTCAGAAGAAGAGCGACTGCCTCATCGCTTGTTCAGTATCTACTCGACCCGGATTACGATTAGGCGCTTGAACTAGCTATTAGACAACGGAAACCGTCGGAGAAAACGCTTCGTCATCTCATCGTGGGGATCCTCCGCGAAGGCTCTAGATCAAACCCCGAAAATATGGAAGTAGATTACGATTACTAAGATGATGATGACGAGGAAGAGGCCCCGCCGGAAATATTGACTCCTCCGTCGATGACCTTCGACAGCGTTTTCGAAATCCCACCCCTCCATTCTCAGGAGAGGCCCGCACCAAAATCTGCGTCAGCTGAAAAATTCAAGCTCGAAATGAAGCTCCACGAGGCAAAACAAGGACACGGAAGATTTCTGAATTCTTGCTTTGGGAAGCTGCTTGCCGTAGCGCCGTCATACGTACAACCAGAAAGGGACTTCAGCGTCATGAACTTCATGTGCTCTTAAGTTCGGAACTCCCTGGCCTCGTCGACGCTGGACAGCTCGGCGTTTTTGCGTTCGTATTTCAAAAGTGGCCGGGGGAACTGACTGAGCATGATCCCATTGCATCGACAACTTATTCGATGACTTATTCTCACGCTTTGTATGCCGATTCTTGGACTATGTATCAACTCATCAGAGCCCTCCCGGATGGGAGATGGTGTTTTTTTTCAATTCTACTCTGATCAGCTCTGAGCTCGGATATCAATACCCAAGAAGAGAAAAAAAATGTTTCTTTTGCGAGCTAGAACCGGTTCTCTGATCGGACCGGTCTAAATTGGTCCTGTCTAGCTTGATATCGTCCATTGGAGCATGATTTCCAAGTTCTAAGACACCACATGCAGATTCCGGGAATTCCTCAACGCGTTTTGCCTCCGAGTCGCCTAAGGCCGAAGCTCGGCAAGCTCCGGCAAATCCGAATCGACGGAAGAATTTGTGAATCATACACGGCTGTGGCTTCCGTCGTAGAACAATCCAAATTTCATCCAACGTTAGCAAGCCCCTGAGTGTTTCTCGAACGCAGTGAGAGAGGAGGGTTTGTCGTTCCGACAAACCCGTTCACAGTGTGAAGCAGGATGCGAAATCGATAAAGGTTTTCCTCGGAGAGGATTCTGATCGCTGAGAAAAGGTGAGTCTGGATTCGACCTGCTCCATAGGACTCCGGGAGGAAGTGAATCCAGCTTGCCGGAGAAGATTCCCTCATCGCTCTGGATGCAGAGAATCGGTGACATATTGAAGAGCGTCGGTTTGGGTAAAGGAAAATCCCAGCGTCCAGTCCCGGTTCACATGCCTGATTCCTCTCAAGAGCAGAGTGACGTTCGCGGAAGTTCCACGAACATCGCAGTGTGCTTCGCACGGGCCTCGTACGTGCAAACATCCAAGAGGTGCCTGCGTTCGGATACAGCAGGCGTGGCTCCTGCACTTACCGAATAGTTTGGTGCGGAAAACCCGGACTCGATTCCGGCAAACCATGAGGCTCATCGGAGTTTTACTTTGCATGAGCCTTTGCGCGGGTTTGAGCCACGGTATCGTTGGCTTTGGTGAGTGCTCCTTATCGAGGGAATTCATCGAGTTCCTCGCCTTCTGAATCGATGACTCACGGAGGCCGGAGCCATCGCGAACTGATGACTGACCCTGATTCCAGGCTCGGGTGCGTCGAAGTTCCTTAGGTTCGCAAACTCCTTCCACTGTGATGAGGCCAGGACATTGGAGCTAGAAGCGAGATGCGACGGTGAAGTCGACTGCGACGACAGGACTGACGAAATGAGCTGCGAATGTGAGTTTCCTTACAGCCGGAGGATAATACCCGTGATGCGACATGAAATTTGTCTTCCGCGGATGATTCTTCATGATTATTTCTGATTATTCCATCATCTGAGAGCGAGACGTTATCTTAACATTCTCGCATGCCCGCGCATCAAGATGATCCGTGCAACCTCCCACGAAGCAAGAAGTTCAGCTGTCGGACCGGCGGGCAATGCGTTCTCCGAGATTTCAAATGCGACGGCCGGAAAGACTGTACCGATGGATCGGATGAAAGCAATTGCAGTGAGTGAAGTTATTCCGTATTTCTTCGCGGGGGTTTCCGTTAGAGGAAGAATTTGTGTATCATTGGGACTCGATTTTCAGCGAAGGCGGAATCCTGCCTCCCTGGTCAATTCGCCTGCGCGGACGGCTCGCGCTGCCTGGCGAAGTCTTTCGTGTGCGACGGTGTCTACGATTGCGAGGATAAATCCGATGAGAATCCGCGGGAATGTAACGCCACGATCAGCGGCTTCATAAATTGTTTATATAGATTCAGATGCTCTATGTACCTGTGCCTAGAAGGTGAGTTTTCCGATGAAGCATCGTGATGTACACATTTTTCGAGCCATCGATCCTCAGAGAAGTTGTTGGAAACGTGGACCATGTGGGGTGACAATACTCTGCGATTTCAGACGACAAGTACCTCTGTGACGGTATAAAGCATTGTCCTGACGGTAGGGACGAGTCCGACGAGGGCTGCCTCAAACATGCGGACTGCAAGAATTGTACCCAGCGATGCACGCGGCACAGTCATGGCGCCTCGTGCGGCTGCAATCAAGGTTTTTCTCTCGCGGACGATGGAGTGACCTGTGTGGACATCGATGAATGCGCTCTCGGACTCTGCAGTCAATTATGCAAGAACAAAGAAGGTATACGCGTGAGCGAGACGATTCGAAACGTGCCTCCTCCAAAATATTATTAGGCCGCGACGAGCTCCATAGCGAACGTTCTTCGATTTCAGGATCCTTCGAGTGCGGCTGTCGCCCCGGCTTCACGAAAGTCAATGCGACTAAATGCGCCAATACAAAAGCAGCGACACTCGTGTGGTATCGAGGCGACCTGTCTCGACAAGAGATCATCCTTGAAACGAATGGCACTTCCCGGAAGATAGAAATACCCGGGCAGGTCACGGAGAAGAAGAAGGTCCCTTCGATATTCATGCCACCAATGTTCTTCGACATCGACAACGAAAAGATCTTCATCCGAATCGGCAACTACCTGTACAGCATGGACTTGAAGGGGCGCCGCTATTCACGACCGCAGCTCTCTCAACTCCTACACCCGCCTTTCCAAATGTCGGATTTCGCCGTCGATACCATAACTGGGAATATATACGCGGCGAAACTCAAGGGAACGAGCATATACCTCTGTCGGTCGGGAGAAACGTGCATACCTCTGGTGACTGGTCGCCGCGACGTCGTTAGCCGACTCCAAATCGCTCGTCTCGAAAACGGCACGAGGCTCCTCTGGCAGGAAGGGTTCGATATCATGTCGAGCAGTTTGGACGGTATGGAAGTTCGATCGGTCTTCCGGGTCCTGAGCAAAGAGAAGATCCGTTATTTCGTCGTCGATGAGCCGAGCCAGAAGGTATACATCGCCTTAACCAATCTACTTGAATTGGACCTGATGTCGATGAGGACACGGATGCTCACCCGACCAGGGCTCGATTACTCGGACGGAACCCTCTGGAACATGGAAATCCACGACGACACAATTCTGATCCAGCTTGTGAACATGCAAGCCGTAAACCAAAACCGAGGGGATTATCTCGAAAGTCGAGTCATCAAGCTGGACCGACAGACTGGAGACCATCTCGGCCATCTTAAGGTACCTCGGGGAGCGCAGCTGCATTCCATACGGCGACGCTCGGATGCTCAAGTCCGCAACCCGTGTTGGAACGAGCCTTGTAGCCACATCTGCGTTGGCGATTCCGCTCCCTTAAGATTCAAATGCCTCTGCCCACCGGGGATGCATCTCGACGACGGGAGCGATGTCGTTTGCGTCCCTCAGGAAGGCGAGGAGCAGATTTTCTTCGTGAATGGTACCCGAGTATCGACTTATGTTTTCGAGGAGGAGACTCTGTACCACAATCAGGACACCTTACTCAACTCCGCGCCACTCGCCATCGCAGCGGATCTCGACATGAACTTGATCTTCGCCACGCGGAGGGGGCTCTTCGCCTTGCAAAGAGATGGATCCCGAAAGGCATTCGGATCCGGCTTGCAGAACATTCGTTCCATGGTCGTGGATCCGACGGATGATGTGTTGTACGCTGTAAACAAGTTCGAGCTCATTGCTGTGAATCTCAAAACTTCGGAGAAGGCGCTGATCGAGACCCAACCGATATAATCCATCTGGACATAGATCCTCAGAAAAGGTGGGCCCGCGTCGAGGGGGATCTTCTTCTACGATTGGATTTCTTCCAAACCCCCTATCCATATCTCTCACAATTCTTGTAGGAACGACGAACGATGAATGAGCAAACCCCATCTTTCCAGGGTACTTTACGCCGAAAACATGAAAGGAGAAGTGTACAGCATGGTGATAGGTCAGTGGTCACGGACCCATCTCCTCGACCTCCCAAAACCCTCCCAGGACGGCCAGAGAACATGGACTTTCGCTGCTGCGGAAAGTAGAATCCGGACCGATGTTTCATTGGTTCTCAGGGCAGGATACTGCGGTCTCGTGCACGGTGACGATATCGGTTTCGACTGCCAAGTAAGTTCATCGATGACCATCAATTTTGTTCAACCTCGCCCCATACGTAGATGTTTATCTTGGATCGGGGAGGGGGGCATGGCTCCCTTGCCCCCCCCTGGATACTCCTCTGCGAATTAGGCGAATATTATTCATATGTAGATTCGCTCTGTCCTTGCGTCCGCGTCGCTTACCGATCTATGGAAATAATACAATTCAACGATCGATTATTATAATGATAAGAATAATGATGATTGATGATGAGGACAAAGCTTTCCTTGATGGATAATCACTTCTTGAACTTTGACAGCGTTCCGGTCTCAAGGGAAAGCAGTGCGATCATATCGATCACGAGACCCGTCTGCTGGCTCGGGCTGGACCTCCCCTCGTCGCAAGCGACGGATCAGCCTGCGATTCTTCGAAATGCGAATTCTGTGTTAGCGCTCCCGGAAAGACCGTCCTCGAAGAAGTCTGCATCTGTCCCTATGGACACGAGCTCGGTGCGTTTATCTTTTCAGTATTGACGAGGGAAGAATCGCGGCATGAGAATAAATCAACCTCCACGTGGCCGCGGGAGAGGGACATTGTAGAATGGTGCTCGCCGTGTGGAAGACTTCCCTAAAATTCGATCGTTTTCTGTATAGGAGCCGATGGAAAATCATGCAGCAAATCATGTGGGGCTCACATGCTACGCTGCTCATCGGCTGACGGCATGTGCATCCACGAGAAAAGAAGATGCGACGGTTCGCGCGATTGCTCGGACGGCTCCGACGAGCTGAACTGCGAGTCACACCACTGCGGTGGGAACTTCAAGTGCGTCTCGGACGGCAGATGTATCTTGAAGAAGTTCAAATGCGATGGCATGAAGGACTGTCACGACGGATCGGACGAAGCCGGCTGCCGTGAGTTTTGCAGAAGCAGAAATCGATGTCACGAAATGTGTCCGGAACTCCTGACCAAGGTTGAGAATCGAGGCCGGGTTGTGTCAAACACGGCAATGAAGCATTACGATTCTATCTTCTCACAGCGGCACGCAACTGTACAGCCTCGCAATTCAAATGCGAAGACGGCACCTGTCTGAGTCCAGTGAAGAGATGCAACGGAATTCCGGACTGCTTCCACGGGGACGACGAGAGATCCTGTCCGAAAGTCGTTTGCAAAAAAGGGGAATTCGACTGCGGCAACGACAAGTGCATTCCGGAGGAGTGGGTCTGCGACTTGACTCCGGATTGCCCGCAAGCCGAAGACGAGACCAACTGTGAGTATCGTTACAAGATGGAATCGTTGAGCAAGAATCTCGCCCTGACGACGACATATTCTTCTCTAGTACGGCATCGGCTCAGAATCGCCTTCAATTCCAGGTCCGGCGCTGAGGGCCAAGATCGGGAAACTCCAAAATCCTGCCTGCGATCCCCATTATGAGTTCTGCTGCAAAAGTGGAGAGAAGTTGCCGCTGGAATTACGCTGCAACGGAATAGAGGAATGCCTAGACCGCAGCGACGAGCTCGGCTGTCCCTCTATGTGTAATCCTCCCCGATTCCGTTGCAACAGCGGTGCTTGTCTGGGCGAAGACCAAGTGTGCGACGGCATCGCTCAGTGTCCAAACGGAGCCGACGAGCACAACTGCCAGGGCAAATGCGATTCGAAAGGTCTTCACGAATGTCGCGCGGACGGAACTTGCATACCCCTGGCGAAACTCTGCGACGGGACGCGGGACTGCTCCGACGGCTCCGACGAGCTCAACGACGATTGCCCGAAGACCCAACCGCCCCCAGCGAACCCACGTGAGTTGAGGAGTTCCCGGAGGATTCCGGCGGATCTCCGATACCGATCCGAATCTTCGAATCCTAAGACTCGGTTTTCCTTTCAAGCGTGTTTTGTTGACGAATTCCAATGCGACGACGGGAAGTGCATTCCTCTCAGCCAAGTTTGCGACAAGAAGAGACATTGCGACGACGGATCAGACGAAGACGTTTTGTGCAAGGACTCCGAATGCGGGGAAGCCGGATGCTCGCACGATTGCGTCGCCCAAGGAGACAGCATCACTTGCTTCTGTCCGCCCGGTTATCGCCTGATGGAAGATGGCCGAACTTGCGACGATGTCAACGAATGCATCGAAACCCCCGAAGTCTGTTCCCAATTTTGCGAGAACCTAAAGGGCTCCTACGAATGTTCGTGCGTCGAGGGTTTCCTGAAGAACAGCCGCGGCGAGTGCCGCGTCGAAAAAGGCGACGGCAGACTGCTCACGGTACAAAACGGAGTAATCGAAGCCATCCCCATGAAGAGAAATGCCAAAAGAGACTTGCTCTTCAATTCACCCAACACGCACGTAGGAGGTATCGATTACGACGTGGCTTCGGATGCAATTTTCGTTAGCGACACGACGAGCAACGTCGTCCGCCGCATATCATTCGACGAATCCAATCGACGCCGCCCCGAAATAGCTCTCGCCCTGGTAGAACCCGGAGTTCTTGCGCTTGATTGGGTCACGAAGAACTTGTACGTCGCTGATTTCCGGCCATCGATCCATGTGTGTAAATATTATTATAAGACGGATAAGACGGATAGCGACAGAAGTCAAGTGCACTGCAAGATTCTGACAGAGGTCCTAATGAAACCCGCGAACGGACACCCGAAGCCGTCGATTACCAGCATGGCAGTCGTTCCAGATGCAGGGTAAGATACGTCGCATTATCCGCGCTATCACTCGAGCCCGTGGTTTCAAGCATTTATGATTCTTCTCATTATCAAAGGATTGATATTCTCAACCATTTTTTTTCAATTTTTCCACCCGTCTGAAAAAGAATTAGAAGAGTTGAAGGAGGGAAAGAAATTATCAATCAATTATTGATTTTCAATGAAAAAGTGATTAATGCTTAAAACCACGGGCTCTAGTGATCACGGTACATATACGAACGGTTCTGGGTATAGAATTGTATCGACGCCCTGCATTTGAAATTATGTCTCTATGAGTTAAGCGTTCACCGCGCGCATATTTCCACTGACTTTTTCCATTTATGCGCAGGATCATGTTTTATTCCGAGGCGATGACCGGTTTCATTTTCCGACAAAACATGGACGGCACCGAGAGAGCAGAATTCAGATGGGCTTTCGGCGAGAGGAGACCTTTGTCCCTGACGGTCGATCACGCTCATAGAAATCTCTATTGGATCGATTCTCGCAGTGGATTGTTCGAAACGAGTGATTTTAAAGGGGAGAAGATTCGCCGACTGCCCCAACGCTTCAATTACGTGAAAACATTCGCCCTATTCGAAGACTATCTGTACTTCCCCGAACCCAATAACGAGTTTTGGTATAGAGTGTCCAAGTGAGTTTTCCGAGCGTGTCTTTTGCAAGTCGATGTCACGATCCATCACCGCGTATCAATTACGCATTCTCGAATCCCGGATTTCATATCGCTCGTTTCAGGCAAAGCGGGATGATAAGATCGGAGAAGAAAAGTCCTCTCGGACTCGTATCGCAAATTAAAATCATGCATCAAGTCAATCAACCTGTGGAAATCAATCGCTGCCATGGGGAACCGTGCCAACAGATGTGTCTCCTGCGACCACACGGGTTCGCCTGCGCCTGCAGGGATGGTTGGGAGTTGTCCCGAGATAATGTTACTTGCGTCCAGATGACAATACACGATCATGACGTTTTCGATAAAGAATGGCAAGAGCAACTTGAAGCTAAATGCCCATGCAAGAACGGCGGCAAGTGCCGCTTTTCCCAAACGTCGAAGATCATGGGAAATTACTGCCAATGCCCATCGGGCTACCACGGAACTTGGTGTGAATCAGGACCGTCCGGCAGCGTGGTTCTGACCGTGGTACTGATCTGCTGCTTCTTCATCCTCGTCGCGGGAGCTGGAGTTTACTTGCTGAATGCCAGGTTTGTACTCTTAGATAGGAGGCATCTTCGACCACGAGACAATTTAGAAATGGCTATGGTATGATGTACATTCATGGTGAATATACCTGTGCAAGAGAGTGCTCAACTGATCTCTGAGCACCTCGACGATGCTCGCTAATCATGGGTCCACCAGGGGCGGTCTGTCTCGATGTCCTGTGAGCGAAGCGAGCAAAGCTGCTCGCGCTGTGGAATCGGCGTAGATGATCGTGTATGAAGAGCTACCCAGCAGGATATCTTTAGTCGGATAGTCCTCGTTTGAAATCGTACATTCTCCCGCATTCGTAGCATTCGTACATTCCTAGCGGGGAAAAATGGAAATTCACGATTCGGGCGGCTCACAATCGAGCCTTCCGATGACTGTACGGGCAGCCGTGTTCCAGGAACCTCCCTACATATCAGGATCCGGTGGAAGGGGTTCGTCCATCTGGGGCGGTTCTTCTCATATTCGATCATAGGCTACTGTGATTGACTTTATCCCAGCAATCGCATTGTATTACAGAGCTAAGCAGGAGCGCCACAAGAAAGTTCTTTGCACGCAAGACGGAGGCGATCGATTGATTCTAATCGAGAAAGAAGTAGTACCTGATGTTGAATACTGAGAACGCCCCGGGAACGTTTTAAGACCCCAAGCTGCCCCTCTCCCCACGTGACTAGGAATCGACCGATTGGAATCTCGGTCGTGATTTTGGATATTTTAAAATAAATTTACGACAACGACTTTCTTAAGTTTGGCACGAGTTTTCATTCCGCCTAAGACCGACCAAGATTCCAAGGTAAGTACTCCTGATTCGCAAGGAGCACGGGAAGACGGGCCGGAAGAAATCGAAATCAATTTTCGATAGCTAATAATGACCATTCCCTGAAAAGACTTTCCCTTGAGTTTCTTCCAATATCGGCAAGAATCACTGAGATCCTGTCCGCCGTTCGCTTAAGTGCCCAGAGCTTCGGAAGCGAATTAGAAAATATATATGATCAGTCAAGGAAGAGAAGCTCTTCGGCTGAATGGGCCATGCGAGCACGCAGGGCGGTTGACATCATCAAGTACGAGTTTATTTTTCTTCATATTTCATTACGAGAATCTATCTCCACGAACTCTTATCGTCGTTGTCCTGGCGGTGGACCCACTCCGGGTTGTTGTTGCGGTGAGGACCGTGGGTGCAGCCGACTAAAATTAGTGGAAGTTTCCTCATTGTATGCTGCTCGCAGGCTTTCGTCGACGGAGTCCGTTGTGCCGAACGGCAGCAACAGCAGGTATCAGTGAGTTCGCGTGATGATCGTAATTAGGAGTCCACCGAAGAGCCTATCCGATGCCCTTCCTCCCGTGTCTCTCTTTTGGTTCTGCACGACTCGTCATCGCAGCAGAAATTGGCGGTGGAGGCGGTTGCTGCTGCTGCAGCAGCGGCGGCAGCAGCAGCACCGGCCTGTTCGTTGGTATCGGGGCTCGGGGGCCGGCAGCCGTTTCGGCCCCGTCCGCTGTCGTTTACCAGCCAGGCCAAGCGGCCAACTCAAGATTGCGGGGACAAGAACGACGCCGGCATCCGGGATGCGGAGCGGTTCCGCATCCTCCGGATATTGGTCTAGTGAACGCTGAAATGATGGCGTCCGTATCGCAGCACTTTTCAGCTAGCATGTCATTTGCCTAACAGATTTGCCGAGCGCCCCTCTCACTCCGACGCTTTTTGACAGTTTTCCGTGGCAGTTGTCCTCGCTGTCGTTGACGTCGTAGATGTCGACGACGAACAGACACCACAGTCTCCGACGGGACAGAGTTGAAGACTCGTGGCCCGCTCGCTAGATCCGTCGTTTCCTGGATTCGTTTACGGTGTGGAGGTGTTGTGCTGCTGGCGCGGCGCTCTATTGTTGTCCAGGTACGAGGGGAGGCCCGACTGGGGGTGGGGGAGAGCTGGGCAGAAGCTTCTCTCAGAGGCTTGAGGTGGGTTACCGAGGGGCACAGTTGCCTCGGGTCTCACCCCCTCCGACTTAGCGCCTTCTCTCTGTCAGCGATCTAAATTTGGGCTTTGTAGCTCGCCGAGCAGCTCACGGTGCAGCTCCATGTTCTATCGGGAAGAGCTCGACACTGCATGGCTTTGTCTTCGTCTACTGGCACGCATCGATTATCACCTCTCCAGGGCAAGTTCCGGTCTTCGTCACCGAGAGCGGTCGAATCACGATGCCCTTTCCCGAATTTTGAACGCCCTGAAGGAATCCGGATCAGTTCCAGAAGGGCTCGACGCAAGTAGGGGAGCTGGGCCTCTCGAAGATCCGACAGAAGCGACGACGTCGATACGGAGTTCCATTTCCCAACAACTGTCTCCTCCAGTCATTATTATCGTTCCGGGCAGCAACAGCTTTCCGTTCGCCGCCCAAGCAGCCGAATTGGCCGATCTTCCGGGACAGAATCCATTTGACTCACTAAGCGAGATCATCGTGCTCATTAGCTAGACGTCCGCATGCATTTCTATGGAAGCCTCGGTCGGGTAGCGACTAACTAACTTTGTCGCATGACTGGCAGTAGCTCGAAGCCGACTGGCTGACTGAGGCTTAAAAGTGTGGCGTGTGAGAAGGGGTATCAGGGATTGATAGCAAGTAACGACGACGGCCGCGAGGGCAGCGAGAGCCGCGGTGGCAACGAACTTGGAGGAAGTATAGCCCCCCGCACCGGCGACCTCGGTCGGGCTGCTGCTGCTCCAATTAATGTGCAAATGCCTGCGTCTTTATGCTCTCGCATGGACTGCCAGCCACCGAGCTCTTCCGATGGCAACTCGATTCGCTGCTCCCCTATTTTTCGGCCAGAGCCCACTCGCCCGAAAATACCTTCCGTTTCCGTGATCACCTATCGCTAGTTGCGCCGACAGCCGAGTCGAGCCGAGTGGTTGCGATTCCACATGGGGATGCTATCGAGCGGGAGCTCGGTACGAATCGACGCAGGGCAACGTGAGGCACTTCGGAAGTCCAAGGCAAGAACAAGGAAGATGAGATCACCACGCGACTGAGAGATGGGAATCAGCTGACTGCCGAGTGCGTTGCCTCGGTGTATCTCGGAGGACGGAACTCGACGTTTCCCTCATTGTCCTAGACACGGACATGATCTCTCCGGGGGAAATAAAGGACAGGGGCTGGAACTCAATGATCCGCGCTCCACGGTTCCGAACCGCGTGATTTCGTGAGAGACATCTGACTCATGCGAGGGCTGGATTGCAAGATCCAGATGATGATGGAAACCGAATCGAGAGCGAACACTTTCACAGCGATTGTTGACTTAGCCGCCTGCAGAAGATGCGGATCGCTGGAGGCGAGAATAGAAGCTTCGGATCTGCCAGTGTTGTTGGCAATAACACGAGGGAGTCGAGCCGGCTTTTGCTCTGGCTGCCTCCGTGAACTGATTGAGAGAAGTTCAATCAGTTTTGGAGAGCTCGCTCCTAATTGAACTCGCAGTGTTTGAGAAGACTTTTGAGAACGGGCTCGGACGCGTCCCACTAACTGGTTGGCAGTAGACAGACAAGCTTTCTGCGAGGAGTGAGGATAATCAATAGAGCTGCGGCGATGGGAGAATCTCCAAGTCGGGGCGCGCTCTCATTCGCTCCTAGCGCTCGTGAGCTTCCACCGAGGCTCCTGTTTTTCTATAAAGGCTAATTTTGGAGGAAGCTTGCCAGCACGCCAAGCTGAGATGAGCTCGCCCGTCGCGAGCTTCGAGTCCAATGGGGATTATTTTTAGACTTCTTCTCGGACTTCTCGGTCTGCTCGTCCGCCGCGTGGCAACGAATCTCGAAACCCCTGAAATTCTCAAACGGTCGCCCGCGGACTCCTCGAACACTTTCTGTGAAAACATGAATTCAAGGTATGCATGGCATCAGCAACGTTCGCCGGGTTTCGTGGAGGGACACGGGGCGCGCTCACTCATTGTCTCTCCTTTGACGGACTGCTCCCGCACCGCGCATACTAACTTGCGGAACGGACGGCTCTTCTAATCGAATCACGAGTCCACAGCAAGTCCTTCTCTCGTCAAGTGTCTTGATGACGTGGCACTTTGACCGTCGATTAACGAGAGAACCCTCCCGTACGTCCGCCGCCGCCGCCGCCGCCAGCCGCTTCCTACCTCTTCCCTGCTTATTTCCCTGCCAGATCTGCTCGACTACCTTCTGTGCCCGTTTCCGTACGTCTTCCGAAAGCACTCACTCCCAAGCCACACGTTCGGCTCTGTCCCATCCAACGCTGAAATTGAGGGAACGGGGCGCGGAGCCGCGTTTTCGCCGAGCCGACGTTTGTGCAGTGGGATCACCGTAGCCCGCTGGCGGAGCTTTCACGCTTCTCCAGGTGACGGACCTCCTCGAGATGAAGTCAAATCCCTCTGTGCGGCGCAGAGAGAACGGAAGACGGTGGAACAGAGAGAGACAGAGAGAGAGACGGAGAGAGGACGAAGGTGCAGCGTTCTCCGACCACACCGACTAGAAATGAGAAATTTTGTCGACTCGGACAAAAAGTTTCCTCCCGTTTGTTTACTCTGGCTCCTGGCATTGTTTCTGAGGAACAGAGAACATTTCTCGGGAAACGTTTTGCCTCATCGATTCCGATGTGAGCGCGGCACGTGGGTGAAGCCTTTCTCCGGGCTTCGGGATTTCTGGTGCGATGGGAACAAAAATTTTCGATTGTCGACAGTCCTTCACCAAGGTCATCATAAATGTAATTACGGATTCCGGAAGAGGTCGGGAAGGAGGCCGGAGCGTTCGGCGGAAATCGGAATCCACTTGGTTTTATTTCCCTCCTCGTACCGCTGGAATCTAACAAATCTCCAGCAGCAAGCGCATAGAGCTGTAGGCATACGACGCGACGCGCCGTGTACTCGTTGGTGTGTCCGGTCCGTGAGAGAGCAGCTGTCCGTTGCTGAATAGAAGCTGCAACTTGATTTTACGGGTCTGAATGGTGTTTTACAACCGCGCCCAGTCTCGCTCCGCCGCAAGCCCGGTGGCAGCGAGCAGTCTCAGCAAGAATCTTCTCATTAATGCAGTCCGGCCCTTATCCCCGTCCGTTCCTTATTCGCTTTAAGTGCCCGGAGACGTATCTGAGCGAGAGCTGGACACATAGTACAGGCAGCAGACAGAGGAATTCATGAGCGCGGTGGAAGAACGTAATTTTCAACCAGAACACTGTTCCGGGGCTTCTCGCTGTGGGGACAGGGGGTTCACTCGAAAATCATTTCGTGGCTCTCCGTCAAGACTTTATGCTCTCCGGGACGTTCTCGCTCCCGGGCTCGTCTCTTCGGTATTTTCTCCTAAACTCAGGATGTCCGCGCTCCGAGAGACGCGGTTTCCCAGGTCTGAGAGAGAAGGCATGCTCTGGGTAATTATTATCAATCAATAATTAATTTACCGAGATCCGGCAAGCCTCATAGAGTCGCCTCGATACATTGAATCGTACATGAGTCGCGTAAGAGTCCGCTCGTCGTCGAGCGAGATCACTTAAGCCACGTATACAAGGACAGGCGTGGCAACCGTGGCTCGGTCGAGCTCGAGGTCTCGCAGCTCCGTTGTGGGCGGAGAATTCCCCACCGGTCGGCGGAATATCGAAAAGTCCATGGATATGATTTAGATAGACAAGACTATCATCGACACCTCTTTATTCTCCAATAAAAGCGTGGCGAAGCGATTCGAATGAATCCTGCTTACATCGCATGAGGAGTTATATCGGGCTGCTATCCGAGCCGAAATGATGCGCTATGTTTACTGAGT